TCAGAATGGTTTATTTTTTCTGTATTCAAGCTTTATTGGAAACAGTAATCCCACTCTGCCATTCAATAAGCCAATGTTATTTCCCTCGTTGATGGAAACAGTAGGCTAAAAAAGCTTGTAAGAAATACAGGTAGTCCTTGACTTACAACAGTTCATTTAGTGACCGTTCAAAGTGCAACAGCACTGAAAAAAGTGGCTTATGACCAGCGGTGGAATTCAAATTGTTTTACTACCAGTTCTGTGGGCGTGGCTTGGTGGGCGTGGCAGGGGAAGGATACTGCAAAATCTCCATTCCCTCCCCACTCCTGGGGGAAGGATATTGCAAAATCTCCATTCCCACCCCACTCTGGGGCCAGACAAAGGTGGTATTTGCCAGTTCTCCGATCTACTCAAAATTTCCGCTACTGGTTCTCCAGAACCTGTCAGAATAGCACCCCTGTTTATGACCATTTGTCACACAATCACTGTAGCATCCCCATCGTTACGTGATCAAAATTCAGATGCTAAGCAACTGACTCATATTTATAACGGGTATTATGTTCCAGGGTCATGTGAGCAACCTTTTGCGACCTTCTGACGAGCAAAGTCAATGGGGAATCCAGATTCACTTAACAACGGAGTTACTAACTTAATTGCAGTGAAACAACGGAGTTGCTAACTTAACTGCAGTGATTCACTTAACAACTATGGCAAGAAGGGTCATAAAAAGGAGCAAAACTCACTTAACTGATGAAATTTCATTAGTAACAGAAAATTTGGACTCACTTGTAAGTCAAGGACTGCCTGTAGTTATTTTTTTTTCCTAATTTAATTATTTCTCTTGTTTGCAATTTAAAATAAGTTGTGGGTTTATCACATTATAGAGAGTTTGTTGAACAAACTGCAGTTGACAGAATGTACACATTTCAGTTTTGCGCTTAAAAGCAGCATTTTGGCTTCCGAGGACCACAAGGGGCAGATCTAATGAAGGAGGTTAAAAATGTACATTTTGAAAGGAGTTTGGAAGTTTTAAGAATAAAAATGGGTGCTTAAAGCTCAGAGGCTCAGCACCTCAATTTCCATTTTTAATTCGATGTAAAAATCTCTAAAATGCCATTGAGAATCTGCCATTTTGTCATGGAATGTCGGTGCCATGAGTATTTTCTACCCTGTTGATTAGCCATAAAGAAAGGTTTATGAATCCAAATGAATTAATTCCCATAGCATGAAGAACACAATGAGTGAATATGGTTAATTAACTTTTGCCTTGAATGGCTGCTTGGCTAATTATTCCCCACTTAAGATCGGCATTCCCTATTTACAACTTTCAGTCCACATACCTCCCTCATCTGCAGGCTATTCCACAAAATGGAATACAGGTCAAGCCTCCATTCCCCTATCTGTTCATCCAAAACCGTGCAAGGCAGGGGCGTCCAACTCAAAGGCTTAAATCTGGCCCATGGGGCCGTCCTGGAAACAGCAAAGGACCAGCCTGCGGTGCCTCTGCCAGTGAAAACAGAGCTCCATTTTTGCTGGCAGAGGGCTCAGGAGGCCATTGGGGCTGAAAACGGGGCCCAGGGGGGCACACGTAGCCCACCAAAGCTCCATTTTTGCTGGCAGAGGGCTGCAGGAGGCCGTCGCAGCCAAAAACTGAGCTCAGGAGCACCGTTTTGCTGGCAGAGGACTTGGGCCGCCACAGGCGCCCCGATGACATCACGAATGATGTCAAGCTGGCCACACCCGCCCTGGCCCCTGAGGTCAAACACAACCCTGATCTGCCCCTCAATGAAATCGAGTTTGACATCCCTAATATAAGGGATTTGAAGGACATGTGGTAGCAGACAGTAAAGACTCAGCTTGATTTAGAAGTTACATTACTTTATTTCCTCTTCTGCTTGTGTACAGTCATGGATTTGTAGAATGTATAGAGTAGGAATAGATACATTTGTTTTTCGGCATGAACCAAAGATGCACACGTGGAAACAGTAAGAATCACTAGTCTCAAACAAGAAGGTCTGGTGCTTTATTTCATCAGAGTGTTAAAACTGAGTATTAAAACAATTAATCAGAAATCGGTGGGTCAGAGCAACAGAAAAAAACACTCCCACATCAAAGAAAGAATTTAAAAAGATACATACTGAAACGCAAAGGAAGTGCGATAGTTTATATTAAGTCACTTAACTAATGAAATTTCATTAGTGACAGAAAATTTGGACTCACTTGTAAGTCGAGGACTGCCTGTAGTTATTTTTTTTTCTAATTTAATTGTTTCTGTTGCTTGCAATTTAAAATAGGTTGTTGGTTTATCACATTATAGAGAGTTTGTTGAACAAATTGCAGTTGACAGAATGTACACATTTCAGTCTTGCGCTTAAAAGTACTTGAGTCCTTGTGGCGCAGCAGACTAAAGCACTGTTATTAACACCAGCTGCCTGCAATTACTGCAAGTTCAAATCTCACCAGGCTCAAGGTTGACTCAGCCTTCTATCTTTTCTAAGGTAGGTAAAATGAGGACCCAGATTGTGGGGGCAATAATCTGACTTTGTATAAAATATACAAAAGTATGAAGGCTATTGCTTAACGCATTGTAAGCCGCCCTGAGTCTCCGGAGAAGGGCGGCATATAAAAATAAATTAAAAAAAAAAGCAGCATTTTGGCTTCGGAGGACCACCAGGGTCAAATCTAATGAAGGAGGTTAAAAATGTACATTTTGAAAGGAGTTTGGAAATTTTAAGAGTAAAAATGGGAGCATAAGGCTCAGAGGCTCAGCACCTCAGTTTCCATTTTTAATTCGATGTAAAAATCTCCAAAATGCCATTGAGAATCTGCCATTTTGTCATGGATTGTCGGTGCCATGAGGATTTTCTACCCTGTTGATTAGCCATAAAGAAAGGTTTATGAATCCCAACGAATTAATTCCCATAGCATGAAGAACACAATGAGTGAATATGGTTAATTAACTTTCGCCTTGAATGGCTGCTTGGCTAATTATTCCCCACTTAAGATCGGCATTCCCTATTTACAATTTCAGTCCACATACCTCCCTCATCTGCAGGTTATTCCACAAAATGGAATACAGGTCAAGCCTCCATTCCCCTATCTGTTCATCCAAAACCGTGCAAGGTAGGGGTGTCCAACTCAAGGGCTTAAATCTGGCCCATGGGGCCGTCCTGGAAACAGCAGAGGACCAGCCCGCGGTGCCTCTGCCAGCGAAAACAGAGCTCCATTTTTGCTGGCAGAGGGCTGCAGGAGGCCGTCACAGGCAAAAACAGAGCTGATACATGTGGTACCAGACAGGAAAGACTCAGCTTGATTTAGAAGTTACATAGCTTTATTTCCTCTTCTGCTTGTGTACAGTCATGGTTTTGTAGAATGTATAGTGTAGGAATAGATACATTTTTTTTTCTGCATGAACCAAAGATGCACACATGGAAACAGTAAGAATCACTAGTCTCAAACAAGAAGGTCTGGTGCTTTATTTCATCAGAGTGTTAAAACTGAGTGTTAAAACAATTAATCAGAAATCGTGGTCCGAGCAACAGAAAAAAATACTCCCACATCAAAGAAAGAATTTAAAAAGATACATACTGAAAGGCAAAGGAAGTGCGATAGTTTATATTAAGTCACATTAAGTCACTTAACTAATGAAATTTCATTAGTGACAGAAAATTTGGACTCACTTGTAAGTCGAGGACTGCCTGTAGTTATTTTTTTTTCTAATTTAATTGTTTCTGTTGCTTGCAATTTAAAATAGGTTGTTGGTTTATCACATTATAGAGAGTTTGTTGAACAAATTGCAGTTGACAGAATGTACACATTTCAGTCTTGCGCTTAAAAGTACTTGAGTCCTTGTGGCGCAGCAGACTAAAGCACTGTTATTAACACCAGCTGCCTGCAATTACTGCAAGTTCAAATCTCACCAGGCTCAAGGTTGACTCAGCCTTCTATCTTTTCTAAGGTAGGTAAAATGAGGACCCAGATTGTGGGGGCAATAATCTGACTTTGTATAAAATATACAAAAGTATGAAGGCTATTGCTTAACGCATTGTAAGCCACCCTGAGTCTCCGGAGAAGGGCGGCATATAAATAAATAAATTAAAAAAAGCAGCATTTTGGCTTCGGAGGACCACCAGGGTCAAATCTAATGAAGGAGGTTAAAAATGTACATTTTGAAAGGAGTTTGGAAATTTTAAGAGTAAAAATGGGAGCATAAGGCTCAGAGGCTCAGCACCTCAGTTTCCATTTTTAATTCGATGTAAAAATCTCCAAAATGCCATTGAGAATCTGCCATTTTGTCATGGATTGTCGGTGCCATGAGGATTTTCTACCCTGTTGATTAGCCATAAAGAAAGGTTTATGAATCCCAACGAATTAATTCCCATAGCATGAAGAACACAATGAGTGAATATGGTTAATTAACTTTCGCCTTGAATGGCTGCTTGGCTAATTATTCCCCACTTAAGATCGGCATTCCCTATTTACAACTTTCAGTCCACATACCTCCCTCATCTGCAGGCTATTCCACAAAATGGAATACAGGTCAAGCCTCCATTCCCCTATCTGTTCATCCAAAACCGTGCAAGGCAGGGGTGTCCAACTCAAGGGCTTAAATCTGGCCCATGGGGCCGTCCTGGAAACAGCAGAGGACCAGCCCACGGTGCCTCTGCAAGCGAAAACAGAGCTCCATTTTTGCTAGCAGAGGGCACAGGAGGCCATTGGGGCTGAAAACGGGGCCCAGGGGGGCACGTGTAGCCCACCCAAGCTCCATTTTTGTTGGCAGAGGGCTGCAGGAGGCCATCGCAGCCCAAAACAGAGCTCAGGAGCCCCTTTTTGCTGGCAGAGTGCTTGGGCCGCCACAGGCGCCCCGATGACATCACGAATGACATCAAGTTGGCCACACCCGCCCTGGCTCCTGAGGTGAAACACAACCCTGATCTGCCCCCCAATGAAATCGAGTTTGACATTCCTAATATAAGGGATTTGAAGGACATGTGGTAGCAAACAGTAAAGACTCAGCTTGATTTAGAAGTTACATTGCTTTATTTCCTCTTCTGCTTGTGTACAGTCATGGATTTGTAGAATGTATAGAGTAGGAATAGATACATTTTTTTTTGTGCATGGACCAAAGATGCACACGTGGAAACAGTAAGAATCACTAGTCTCAAACAAGAAGGTCTGGTGCTTTATTTCATCAGAGTGTTAAAACTGAGTGTTAAAACAATTAATCAGAAATCGTGGGTCCGAGTAACAGAAAAATATTCCCACATCAAAGAAAGAATTTAAAAAGATACATACTGAAAGGCAAAGAAAGTGCGATACTTGACATTAAGTCACGTTATGTTAGAAGATTTTAAAAACCAGCTGAAAATAAAATAAAATAAAATAGCATTTGGAAAAACATTAACACTTCCGCCCCTCCCCCGATCATCTTTTTAAGCTTCTCTGTAAGAAATTCATTAGCTGTACACTGGAAATGGTTATGTGATTAAAATATTCTGACAACCTCTCTCTCTGCTGCTGGAAGTTATCCAAAATTCAAAATACCACATATTCTCATATGTAGACTCGTAACAAACAATTTTTCAGTTCAAAGCTCACATTCTTTGGCATCTCAGTGTTAAAAAGTCATTCAGTGAAGGAAATGGGTAATCTCCAAATTGGATACATAAATAAAATAATCATAGAAATAAAAGTATAAATATATGGCAGCCTTCAAATCCAAGCTGTTTTAAAAAAACAAAACTCCAAATATAATAAATAACAAGGCCAATTTGGTGTGCTGCTTTGAGAGGCAGAGTAGAATTATTTCCTTTTTCCGTAGTCTCTGCTGTTCCATAAATATTTAGCTGGCTATCCATCATCATTATATACTTGATAATCCTCTGTATTGTTCATACTTGCTCTACATTTACCAATTCAAAGATTAATTCTTGAAGTACCTCAGTCTTTCCAATTACACCCTTCAACTATTCCATTGATCTCTAAATCTCACCCTAAAGTGTTTTCCAAGAGCCACAGAGCCATACAAATCTTGAGTTTGAAAACAACATCTTGAGGCCAATTCAGGGAAGCATGGTCTACTCTAGGAATCCCAGGGCTGAGAACCTAAAACGCCTTGAAAGTAGCTTATTTGTAGTACACAGAACCAATCCAATGATTAAATCACATTTGGAAGCGCTGATAACTAGATCTGAACTCAATATTCATAATTAACCCAGAAAACAAGAACGGGTTTTTAATTTTGCCATTTCACCTCTCGATGGAGAAAGATCAAAGCTGTTTTGTATTTTATAATTATGGATGTAAAGAGTAACACTGATAAGGCAGGAAGCCAGAGTTCCTGGAAGAATAACTATGTCACTATATCTCCCAAGGCTGTAAGAAAACAGGCTAATATATGTTGATTTGGAAAGGTGGCCGGGGAAAAAATGGAATCTTGTAAATAAGCATTGATTTCTCCATACTTCAAAAGGGGTCTCTTTTGCTCAGCTGTGTCTACTGACTAAACCAAGATTTGTACAAATCTTGTCTAGAGATGAATCAGCATACCTGGCCTCGCCAATGGAAATTTCATCTCAAAAAATAAAAATATGAAAATATTTAGGATTATTAGTGCCTCAGATTATTTTGATTTGGGCCTTTTTAACATGAAGTCTACCCTGTTTCCCCCAAAATAAGACATCCCCTGATAATAAACCCAATTGGGCTTTTGAGCTCATGGCAATAAGGCCAAGCGCTTATTTCAGGGTTCAAAAAAAATATAAGACAGGGTCTTATTTTCAGGGAAACACTGTAATAAGCCAACGACCTCATGTCATCTTTCCAAGTTAATTTTTTTAAAAAATAAAAAGAAGTATTAAATACTTTTGCAGATTAATATTAAACATTTTGAACAGCAAATGATATCAAATATGGTGCACAAATGGTTTTTATCCTGCTTTCTGGGGAATTTGGTTCTTTGGAAGGTTGCAGAACCCTTTAGAATTTGGAAATTCATCTACCTGTTTGTGATGAAGAAATTTAGGGACCAAATGTGTTCCAGCTTTACAACAGGAATAGGAGAAACTGTGTGTTTAGCATTTTGCTGTCTGAAGGATTCATTCTATTGGCAAATATAGGAGACAGTAATAATCAGTGCACGCCATGGGAGCAGAAAAAAAATGTGAAATAGTTAATCTCTACCAGCATTGAGCTTTTATGAGCTCAACTTTCAGCCTTCAAATGACCCTTAATCAACCTGCATTGCTACCTGATATTGTTGCAAAACTGTTTTGTCTTACTTTGCAAGAGGATCCCTTTGTAGAAGATATTCACCACTTCCAATAATGGTTCTGGTAATTGACAGGAGACACTGCAAGGCACAAGTGCCTTGTGTAGAAAAAAGGCAAAACTCACATCTAGCCTCCTTTGAATATCATTTTCCATTCTTCTTCTCCCTCCCTCCCTCGCCACCTTGGTCCAACACAGAAGATGCTGCATTCAAATGATGGGGTGAATGATGTGGTTTTCCACCTAGTGAGGTCATAAAAAATAAGAGTTGATCTGTAAATGCCAATGAATGAGAAGAAACCTCTTATCTTTGAACATTCAAGAGGACTCAAAGACTACTTCAGAAAAAAGACACACCACAGAATATGTGGATCAAGCAGCAGAGGCCACCAGCCCAACATTTCCTTTAGTGCTACTTAAATGTGAAAGCTCAGATTTGTATGAACAATGCTACTCATACCTGGAACGGAGTCGAAGGTCTTTTCACAATGCTACAACGAAACAGCCAAACCTTGAACAAAACATGTAATATAAAAGTTAACTTCTGCTATGCAAAGTTAGCAATGGCACTGATGTGAAACACTGTACACACATGTATGCGCACACACAGCACAACCATATATGTACATGTCGCCTCGTAACAACACACATTTTAACAAGCCACCATTGTTATTCACTGGCTTTTTTTTTTTAAAGAACAAGTTCTTAAATATGAGGGAGCAGCATAAAGGGAACTGTTAACAAGGCATTTAAGAACATTAAGGTTGTCCCAGTCCTGGATGGGGAGAAAGAAGATGATGCATTGGTTAACTGGATACTCCTTTCTATTTATCTTCAGAAAGAGACACACTGGTAGATGGAAGTAACTTTGGGGAATCCAACAGATCATTCCTCACAGATTGAATCCAAGACCCACAAAGTGATCAATCCTAGTTAGGATCAGTCCTAACATGTAGGTTCAAACATCCATTTATCCCAATACCAAGACTGCTATTCCAAGATAGTCCACAAGTGTTCCTTCTTCTTGACTGTAATGTTTTAGAATTATCCAGATCTTCAGTTTTCCTACGAATTTCCCATCTGAATGCACTTGATGCTATTTGCTTCCAACGAAACAGAACATAACCTTGTTTAAGCAACCTTTCCTATCTATGTTGTCTAGTTGCTTGTTCCAGTCTTCATTTTTTTCCAGGTGAATTCTGAAGCATCAGAAAAACACGGTACTCTCCTATAAAACTACAGCGAAAAGTAACAGGATGTGGGTGCAGCCCACATGGGAATGGAAAATGTCAGCCAACACAATACATTCTTGGTTTTAGTGCCAGCATTTCCATATTTTAAAGCTTCAAGCCTAAAATGAGACTACAGGGAACTCTTTGGTAGAGATTCCTAAATTGTCATGTCTGAACATTCTTGTTTGTCCCACTTTTAGATAGCAAAGCTTACAGTATGTTGAGTCACATAAATAGCCTGGAAGTAGTTACTGAGGCAATAATTAAGTCAGTGGATGGAGAAGCATTATTAAATGTGGAGGTCTGAGATGAATTAAGAGAAGAGTGTATTTTTAAATAAACAGTACTTTAAGAATACCAGCAGATAATCCTAGGGCCAACAAATTTGTTTTGCTAAAATCTCTCAGGTGCCAATAGATCTGACCTTACAAAACCATTTCTTCTAACATGTTATATTTAAATTGAGTTACAAACCTGTTTGCACTTTATGGATTTTCCACATATCGAGATGCAATTATTCTGTCCCATTCCTACAAACATGGAGGATTACAACACATTCAAGCATACAGTTTGGGGGATGTAGTCCCTTACTGTAACCATGAGCTAAAGTTGATGTGTTTAACTCTGAATTATCTGGTATATAGGACTCTGTTACAACACCCTGAGGACACTCTATTTTTCTCCAGGTAGGGTGGTAGCAAAATCTCTCAATAATGTCACCCATAATGCACTGTTGCAAAATATGATTGGGAATTCTTCTTCAACCTTAACTTGCTTCATTAACTAGATGTGATGTCAGTTAAGTCATGTAGAAGCATTTATATTAGTCCAGGCCCCTGGACAAAGGGAAAGTGCCTCTCTGTTTCCCAAGATGCATCCTCAATTGCTTGGAGAAGATGGCCTATGCCTATCTCTTTTTTAAAAATAGCAAATTTACTCGCTAGATTACATCTAATTTAGTTTTTAAGCCCATGCTATCTGATTCAATCTTGGTGTAAGGGATGCTTATTATTCACTGGGTTTACTAAAACCACTAAACGCAGCTTACAAAAACACTACCTTGAGACATTACTATACCTAAAGAAAGAAACCATGTTAACATTATGGTCAAATTCTCACCACTTGTTAAACTAATGGCTGGATTCTCACAAAGGCCTGAATCACCAATTACCCATTTTAGCACTACCTACCAACTTGAGGATATGCAGTTATTATCAATCAAAACCATGTACTGTATGAACTTGAGCAGTTTAACAATTCTGGCAGATATGCTATCCCTATCTATGCAAGAACCAGAAAAAGGCCAATAAAAAGAATGATTAAAGAAGCATTCTTTATATGAAGGAGAACAAGAGATAAAATGAAGGAACAGCACAGTAAGAGATTCAAAGCTTTTGAGTGTTGTGGTGAGATAAGAGAGCCAAAAAGAGAACAACTGCCCTTTCTGTATTCAAAAATCAATCAAGGTCAACAACTTGGAAGGTTGGTGTTTCAGTTTCATTGCCTGCTTCTTTTCTTTCGTCATCTTTGCTGTTCAGCATATGATAGATAAATGGACCAATGTGATGCACACTTGGCTGGAAATAGTAGAGTTGTGGTCCCGTGTTGTCAAAATCATGAAGGTTAAATAGTACACTCAATCAGAAAGCAGCTTCCGATTTATGGATATTCTCTTGGGAAACTAATGTATAACTATGGCAGAATAAGGAGGAGACCATTTGAACATCGGAAGAAGCAAGAGATGTTATTAAATGTGTCTGATGCTCAGAATCAACCCACATTTGAAAAGGTTAAAAATGTCCCCGTCTGTCATCCTGTCATATAATTATCTGGATACTCCATCTGTATTTCAAGTCGATAACCTGAGTCTGAGAAGAATTGGGGAAGCAGATAGTTTGAAAATATAGTGTCCTATGGGGAAAAGAAGCCAAAGGGGGCTAAGAGGCTGGTAAAAAGTTAGTATTGTTGGAGACTAAGACTACAGGAGAAGAAGAAGAAATGGTTATCAGGCAGAGATGGAACTAGCAGTCTTAGGCTGCCAAACAGATGTAGATTCAAGAGTGATCCAAAATCTCTGAAGAGCAATTGCAACAGAAATCATTATGAAAAGAGAATAATGCAACTGGTGCAGATGCCCATAGGGAGAAAAGGCTTTGAAGATACAGGAAAAATCAAGATTGCATTAGCTATGAGACACTGACAGCTAATTTTTTTTTACAAAGCCCTTAACTGTCTGAGGAAATTTTGTTGCTGCAGCTTAGGAAAGGTATACTGTTGTATTACCTGAAGCAGAATTATTAAAGGCAAGGAAATAGTTAATCTCAGGATTGTACAGCAATTAAGCTATGAAGCAATTTGCCATATTTCATTCTCCTTTCATTATCGTAGGCACCATCTGCTTTCTAATATCCATCTTTGATATACTTCACATAAAGATAAAAAGCTCAATCTATTGATGGGTAAGATTCTTGAATGCTGTTATCTTGTCTGGTCAATCCTAAGAACTGATGATAGACATGTTTTGCCTATTATTTCTGCTATAAAATATGGGCTACTGTACTCTACTCCAATACTTAGTAGTACAATATAATTTGCTGTCTCATGACTCATTCCCTTTGCTGTTCTTCTGCCGTTCTTGTGATAGGAATAGCAATAGCATTTACTGTAAATTTATATACCTCTTTACAGTGCTTTTCAGCCTTCTCTAAGCGGTTTACAGAGTCAGCTTATTGCCCCCAACAATCTGGGTCCTCATTTTACCCACCTCGGAGGAAGGATGGAAGGCTGAGTCAACCTTGAGCCTGGTGAGATTCGATCTGCCAAACTGCTGGCAGCCGGTGATCAGCAGAAGTAGCCTGCAGTACTGCACTCTAACCACTGTGCCACCATGGCTCATTCTTGTGATGGGGTAATGCTTGACTGGGGTTGCTCAAATTCTACCAAGGTCAGGTGGATAGGGCCCAGAACAGAGTTCTCAGTCTCTTTCTCAAGCGTTGCATGGAAGTTTCATTTACTGTGTATTTTCTATAGTTACACTGCATCTGATGGTGGGAAAAACAGGTGAGAGACTCCTGAAAAGCATGTATGCTATTGCATATGTATTTACCTTATAGGAACAAAATAAACTCCCTTATTTTGAATCAGTTCACTAGTTTATTAACTCATTTTATATCTAAATTGACTAGGATTTACCAGCCCTAACTGGAGATATCAGGTTTTGTCATGGGATCCTTTCCTATGGAAAACCGATACCTTATCACTGAGTATTTGGGATACATATTTTATTCAGAAATGGCAACAGATGGATCTCTTAAAGCACTGGAGATATGGCACAGAAAATTTGTCTCTTGAAGCTCAACAATGTATTCAACACATAGGATAGGACTCTGTGAGTAGCAGGAGTGAAGATTGCTTCAGTGGGATTATGATGATGGTGGCAGAAGGATGCAGACAATCCCTTTAGTCTCTTTAGAAGTTATGGTTTTCTGCAAAAATAGCAAAAAATGCTATTGTGTGGCCACAGAAGATGGGTGCCACATCTAAAAAACAGTAGGCCTACATTGAATCCAGGGTTCAATTTTTTCACCACTGGTTTCCATGTTCATGTGTTGCCTCTATTGAAGTCTCTGATAAATAAGTAAAATTGAGACCTACTCTGGTGATGAGCCAGTGATAAGAGCTGTCTGGATGAAAAGATATTGGGCTTAAGGCACCCAAGAGATTCCCCAGTGCACAGCTACGGGCTCCTCCCTTTGATTCTCATTTGCCCTAAGAACTGCAGATGTTGCTGCTGCCACATCAGAAGGCTGCCTTTTCGAGAAGCAGATGTGGTTGCTGTCAGTGAGGCCCTTTCTCACTGAGTTAAGCTGGAGCTTCCCCGCTCTGCTTTATTGCACATTTTTGTTACGAAGTAAACATTAAGACACAAGCTCATTTTCCTGTCCAGTGTCACCCCGCAAGAGATTGCGGTTGGTACAAATCGTTTTCTCTACTTTCAATGTTTCATGAGTGGATACAAACAAGAGGAACGAACAGAAAGTTCCCCTGGGGAGACAGAAGCTGCCAGAGCTTTGTGAATTCCAATCCTCTCCATCACTTTGAACCATGAAGCTGCCAAGTGCAACTCAAAGAGCAAATGCCTACAAGCTCTTTGCGGGATGCCAGAGGCCTGGTGGTGCAATCCCAGCTCTTGTTATGGGACAGACTCAAACTTATGAACCCCCCCTCTCATCCACACTATGGAGGGCAGATGCCGGTCATGGTCTTTATCTGACTCGGGCTGGCTTTGGGCACGCTCTGGCTTGGGGGTCAAGGATGGTGGGTCAGGCTGCTGGACAGACATAGTTCTCCGGAGGTGATTCCTCTTGCGCAGGAAATCAGGTTGAGAATGAAGACCAAAGCTGCCTTTCCTTAGGATCATGCGGGAGTTGTTCTTCTTAGGCCGGGAACGGAGGCTGAACTCCAGGGAAGCCAAGTGGGCTGCATAACCTTCGCTGATAAACTGGAGGAGAGAAGGAGAACAAAGATGACAAACATTTAGCATCATCTGTGGCATGGAGGATAAGGATAAGGATAATTTTATTTCTATACCGCCTCTCTCCCGAAGGACTCAGGGCGGTGTATAGCCAGGTAAAAACACAATACAAATATCACAATTTAAATTTAAAAAATTATTAAAAGTGTTACATTTAAGGCCAAAATTAACTAAAAAACCCCAAAATTTAAGAACTCCGAATTTAAAACTCAATTATGAAGCTAGCCCTGCCTGTCGGAAGAGCAGGGTCTTAAGAGCACAGCGGAAAACTCGGAGGTCAGAAATCTTGCGTATGTCTGGGGGCAGTTCATTTCAAAGGGCAGGGGCTCCCACAGAGAAGGCTCTCCCCCTGGGTGTCGCCAGCCGACATAATTTGGCCGATGGCATCCTGAGGAGTCCCTCTCTGTGGGAGCGGACTGGTCAGTGGGAGGCTATTGGTGGCAGAAGGCGGTCTCGTAGGTACCCAGGTCCTACGAGAGGGAGGAAGGGAGTAATGTATTACAGACGTTTCACTGCTCTTCTTTCTCCCGAAACACCAACCAACCAGACTAAAGCTGACAAAGGACAAGTGAATCAAGAATAGACCAATCATCTGGCTTCTTCCTTGCGGCCACCTGTATGGATTAAGACAGAATTTGTTCCAAGGAATTGGCCAAGGAAGTGAATTCTCCAGTGGAGGGTAATGTTTGCCTACATTTGTAGTAAGAAATGCAAAGAACGCAGGGACTTTACAGCCTCCACAGAGGGATGAGTGGGTGGGCAAGAAACATTAAGCTGGTTTTGGATTAGCTAGAAGAAAATGTGGAAACACAGTAGGCTACCCGAATCTGTTTATATACTGAAAATGCTTAACTATTAGAATTGATCAATTGACCTAATTAACTGCAAACCTGTTTAAAATGCAGGACCTGGAAATCAGCAAACATTAGCAGGCTTAATCCAAACCATAGAGTGCACAACAGAATAAACTAGAAGTGTTGTGAAGAAGATAGGGTGCACCAAGCATTCTCTGGTAGGGAAGAGAATAAATGCGACGTACAGGCTCTACACAAGATTAGAAACAAACTCCCTTCATTTAATTTACTGCCTTGTCGAATTGCTAGAGATAGCAGCAAATTAGAAATAACTATGTGTGGTCAAAGAGTAGGCTGTTCCTTTCCTAAACCAATTACTGTTTGTTCTTAATAAAATAGAGAAGAAGACGACATATGAAATCGGCTTGATAAATGTGCCTGTAAATTTTGTCTTCCACTGAGAACAAACACCCAGTGACAGATCAATAAAAAAACATTGGAGTACCTTTCAACTGTTTGGTTTTGTTGGCTTAAATTAGGAAAAAGGGGATTTTTTTTCATGGAACAATAGAACACAATCTTTAGCCATGTCACCTGCCAACAGGAGCTGCTGCTGAATTCCTGAATGGGAGGGATGAAGAATTTGTTGTTTGAACTGCTAGAAATTGTCTTCCCTGCTATGGAGTCTAGGCTTTTATTTGCCCAATTTTCAAGTTCCTTTCCAAGTAGAACATAAAATATCAAATAAAGGCAATTTCATTTAAGCATGACTTTGAAACACATTTCTTTCTTTCTTTTTCTTTCTTTCTTTCTTTCTTTCTATCTATCTATATATATATATCTATATCTATATCTATATATATATCTATATCTATATTATATATGTAGGTCTTTGGTTATTCGGGTTTTCTCCCGCGTAAAATTGGAGGTTTCTTGGCGACGTTTCGACGAAGTCTCATTCGTCATCTTCAGGCTGGTGTTCTCGGCTTCGTGCTTCCATTGCTCCTGGAAGCACGAAGCCGAGAACACCAGCCTGAAGATGACGAATGAGACTTCGTCGAAACGTCGCCAAGAAACCTCCAATTTTACGCGGGAGAAAACCCGAATAACCAAAGACCTACATACAAACACCCGCGAAAACCTCAGAAAACAAATATATATATATATATATATATATATATATATATATATATATATATATATATATATGTGTGGTGTGTGTGTGTGGTGTGTGTGTGTGTGTGTGTGTGTGTGTGTCTTCTTAAGTTTTCGTGGGTGTGTATATGCAAAAAATTAAAATCTCGGGTGTTTTCCCGCGTCATGTTAAATAAGTTAATTAAAATGTTTAAAATTCTGGTTAAAATCCTAGCTTAAAATCTTCTAAAAATCCTTACAGAGCACTCTGCAAGGTCCTTTAAAACCTTAGCTAAAATCCTACCAGAACCTTAAAAGTTTTTCTTTATAGCAACGTTTCGACAGGCTCACAACCCTGTCATCTTCAGGCTCTTATCTAGTTTAGAAGCTGTGGGTGTGTTGCGAGGTCGGAGCTGTCGCTTTTCTATGTTTGCTGCTGCTGACGTATGCTGGTTAGCCTGTAACTCTGTGTTGTGATTGGAGGACAGCAGTTTTTCTTCCTGCTTCTTCATCCTGGCTGTTTGGCTACGTGTTACCGGCCTAACTTTCTCAGGTTCTCTATTATTATCTGTCTGCTGTAGAGGGGAAAGGATTCTGGTAGGCATCCCAGCACCCTTGATTGTTAGTTGAGATCTCAGCCTGTCTTCTGGCTCGATTCTCTCTCTCTCCCTATTGTTAGCCACCCTCTGCAAAGAAGGAAGAATTCTGGCATCCTTTCCCCTCTACAGCAGACAGATAATAATAGAGAACCTGAGAAAGTTAGGCCGGTAATACGTAGCCAAACAGCCAGGATGAAGAAGCAGGAAGAAAAACTGCTGTCCTCCAATCACAACACAGAGTTACAGGCTAACCAGCATACGTCAGCAGCAGCAAACATAGAAAAGCGACAGCTCCGACCTCGCAACACACCCACAGCTTCTAAACTAGATAAGAGCCTGAAGATGACAGGGTTGTGAGCCTGTCGAAACGTTGCTATAAAGAAAAACTTTTAAGGTTCTGGTAGGATTTTAGCTGAGGTTTTAAAGGACCTTGCAGAGTGCTCTGTAAGGATTTTTAGAAGATTTTAAGCTAGGATTTTAACCAGAATTTAAACATTTTAATTAACTTATTTAACATGACGCGGGAAAACACCCAAGATTTTAATTTTTTGCATATATATGTATATATATATATGTATGTATGTATGTGTATATATATATATATATATATATATATATATAATTCCTGACAGCTCCTAATGGATTTTTGCTTTTTTATATTCTTCTTAGTTTGTATTAATTTTCTCTCTTTGCAGTTGTAAAATTTAATAAAAATTATAAAAAAGAAAATTAATCAGATCTGCCATATTTAATGTTTAAAACAAAGCAGGTATAAATCAGAGCAATGCAACATAAGGTAAGTAAAAAAAAAATGCTGATGGCCATTGCAGGTTTTATTCTGCTGGCATAGAAATCATAGATATAACACTTAAGTTTTAGAAGAAGTTTTACGGCTTAGAAGCATTACATGGGAAAAGGTCTTAGATGTAGTCATTGGCAACATGAGGCAGCTAGACAGCTGGTAGAAGAAGCACTAACATAGTTCTGGGCTACATTAGGAGGAATACTGAATCAAAAAGAAGTGAAATTCTTATTCCCCTCTACACAGGGGTGAAATCTACTTACCTCTCTTACTGGTTCGGAAGTGCACGTGCCGCGTGTGTCACCTTCTGCACATGCGCAGAAGGCAAAAAAACATTACTTACTGGTTAAAACCAGGTTAAAACCAGGAAGTAAGGACACCTGGGCAGCGATCGCTACTGGATTGCAACCACAGGGAAAATCACTATCCTTGCCTCTACACCTGGAACATCTATAATTTTGGCAGCCGATTTCTAGAGGTATGAGGCAACTTAGAGCAGGTTCCATGGAGGGTAACACAGATGATGCTATGACTTGAGAACATGCTCTATAATGCTCTTTTTAATGTTGTAAGCCACCAGAGTTGCCTCGCAGTGAGATGGGCAGCAAACAAATTTAATAAATAATGAAAAGATTGAAGGAACGTGGGAGATTCAGCCCGAACAAAACTGGGGAAACACATCAGTTGCACAAGAGAGCCATACTCTTTCGATCAAGAAATGTTTTCCATAGGGTCAGAAAAAATGGGCATAATACAGAGTTCTCAAATTATGACCCTTTTGTTTAACAACTATTCAAAGCTCAATGGCACTGAAAAAAGTGATTTATGACTCGTCTTTGCATTTAAGACTGTCACAGTGCCCTCACAGCCATGTGATCAAAATTCAGTTGTTCGGTAACCAGCATGTACTGTGTATATGACGGTTGCAGTCATTTGCACCCTTCTCAAGGGGCTTCCAACAAAGTCAACGGAGAAAGCTGGACTCACTTAAGAATTGTGTGATTTGTTTAATGACCTTGGCCAAAAAAAAAAAAGGTGAGCATGACTCATTTAACAACCGCATCACTTAGCAATGGAAGTTCTGGTCACAATTGTGGTTCTAAATCAAGGACTAGCTGTAGAAGAAAGAATCTGTAGTTTGGGATTGATCTGTTGAGTTCTTGGTGCTCTCTGAGCTTCATTGTTTCCATGCAGACATTTCATTATTCAGTGAAAGTTATACAGATGTTACCTGAGGATGTTATCTAGTTGGGTAATGAAGTTCTGCAAACAAGCAAACAAGCTTGGACAGCACCAAAGACTCCAGAATGGGAATATGTTGCAGCTACCTAGGTTTTATTTAAATATAATGGCGATCTGTTCAACAGTGCAAATTTCTACTTAGGAAGCTTTGGAATTCTCTGGAGTTTTTTTTTTAAAGAAATAGCATCTTTCAAGGATGGTTTTATTAGTTTTCTTATACACTATAGGGCAGTGATGGCTAACCTTTTTGCCATCGCGTGCCAAAAGCGGGGGGAGCGCGGGAGGGTCACACGCGTGTGTGCTCACACCCATAATTCAATGCCCCCCTGCACCCGCCCCCCGCTCTCCCACCGCTTTTGGCACGCAATGGCATGGTGGGCCCAATAGGCTTTTTTTTTTTGCCCTTTCCAGTGTCCAGAGGCTTCCTTGGAGCCTGGGGAGGGCAAAAACAGCCTTTCCCACCGTCTTGGAGGTCCTCCGGAGGCCAGAAACAGCCCATTTCCTGACTTCCAGCGGGCCCGGAAGGCCCGAAAATCAGCTGGCACACTGGAGCTGAGCTATGGCAATGCTCGCGTGCCCACAGATGTGGCTCCGCATGTCACCTGTGGCACGCGTGCCATAGGTTCGCCATCACGGCTATAGGGGGTAGGAGTAAATCAGGGTTTCTCAACCTCATCAAATTTAAAATGTATGGACATTAACTTCCAGAATTCCTCAACCCGTATGAAGAAACACTGTACGAGATTATCCATGCAATTCTTTCCAGTTCCACAATTCTATGATTCGAAGACTTACAATTAAGACTTAAATAAGGAGAGCGTGTATATCCTTTAGTATATTTCTATATACTAAACGTAAGACTAAGCTAAGTGCTCTGGTTTGCTGTTGCTGCAGACAAATTCCATCTCACAAGGGTTAATTGTACAATGCCCCCAAAACCTTCATATTTTCCAGGGCCCTTAAATCTTCCAGAAAAAGAAAAAAAATCACCTGGCACAGAGTCTGATATTTCTTTGCTGGTCGTCCAACAATGTAAATCTGAGAGGGGGAAAGACCCAGGACATTATACACAGAAATGTCCTTCATGGAGCCATATGCAGCACAAATTTTGATGTGGCACTGGAGGGAGAAATGTCAAAGGTTAGCCATGAAAATGTGATACCAATCAGAGCCAATAGCTCCCCAATTAATACCCCAATTGACTCATGTCATCAGTCTGGGTCACTAGCAATCATGAATTTGAACTATGAAGTATATGGATTAATGGGAGTCTTAGCTCACACGTGATGGCTGTTTCTGGCCATGAATCCGATCTAATTACTCAGGAAAATTAGTGTCTAATTAACCAAACTTCAAAACTTCCCCATTCAATGCTCCTGAAAGGGCAAGGAGGAAGGCTATCAACTATTACCTCTTGCACAAGATTCCGGAGAAAAATGGTTTTCTGCCTTAAAGGATCATGGACAAGACCATCAGAGAAGAAAATCATTCCTTGAGGGAAGTTGTGCTGAGACAGCCAAGAGACAACACGTTGCTTCTGCATGTCGGGACGTCCTGTGATATAGATAATCAGGTAGCCAAGATCTTGCCAATGCCTGTGTTAGAGAGAAGGGATCATCAAACAGTTTATGACTATTCTGTCTGGTAGAGGGGAGGGGTTGAATGGGAGAATACCAGAAGGTGAGAAGGTAACTACAGAGGTGTCTATGGAGATTCTCGGTCATCCAGGTCATGGCTGTCTCAAAGGTGCCTTTTCAAAAGGCAACTGGACTTCCTTGGTTTTTCCTTGAAGAGGTTTTGTTTCTCATCCAAGAAGCTTCTTCAGTTCATGTCTTCAAGGAAAAACCAAGAAAGACCAGTTGCCTTTTGAAAAAGCGCTTTTGGGACAATCATGACCTGGATGACAGAGAATCTCCATAGACATTTATTCGGTCTGATAGAATCCCAGAGGGGAGAGTGAGAATGGGAGAGTACCAAAAGGTGAGAAAGTAACCATAAGGAAAAACAGATGGTTAGGAAGAGGGAAGGGATGGAATTGTACATGATGGTTGTGAAAGTGAAATTGTAAGGAGCTGAGGTCCCATGGTTATTAGCATGCTATAACAGTCAGAGATAGGGGGATAAAATTATTTAGCTTACAATTGAATGCAAATGTGTAGCACTTTAAAAATACTTCTGAAACCAGTAAATAAGCATGATTTATCCTTCAAAATTTTCATTTCTCTGTATTATTTAACACAGTCTTCTTAATAATAAGTTCCCTCTTTTACCTCCGTATCAATTACTTTCAATTTCAACTTTCTTTCTCATCCAGTGTTTCTCAACCTTGATAAACTTTTATAGTGCATGGACTTCAATTCCCAGAATTCCCCAGTCACTGCTGACATCTTTTTCCTCCTTAGATAAAAGTTTATAAATTATGCATATTAATGAAAAAAGTAAAAAATGCATATTAAACATGGTTTGCAAAAGTTGTAGACAGTGATCCGAAATACAAGAAGAAAAGCAATAAAGTTTCCCCCTGTCCCCACATACCGTATTTTTCAGAATATAAGATGCACCTTTTTCCCCAAAAAAAGAGGGTGAAAATCTGGGTGCATTTTATATTCCGAATGAAGCCCCTCCCAGCCTCGCAAACAGAGATTTCAGAGCTGAAAGAAGCCTCTGAAAGAAGCTTCAGAAAAAAAGCCTCCAAACAGAGCTTCAGAAAAAAAGCCTCTGAAAGGCTTTTATCTAAAATAATATGGCAAGCAACAAAAGAAGAATCAGTAAAGGTTCTAACCAAACTATGCTAACACATCTGGAGAATGACACAATAACCAACAGATCGGAAGAGGTTAATCTATATACCAAAGGAAGGAGATTGAGCACAGTACAGATAGTCCTTCAGAATAAAAGCCTCTGAAAGAAGCTTCAGAAAAAAAAAGGCTTTTTTTCTGAAGTTCTGTTTCGGAGGCTTTCAGAGGCAGAAAAAAAAAGCAAGGTACAGAGCTCACAACCAATGAACCTGTTGCTAAAATTCACCTCTGGGAACAGCTGATTGGGGGTATTCCGAGAGGCCATCCACCCACCAATCAACTTTTTTCTTATTTTCCTCCCCAAAAACTAAGGTGCGTCTTATACTCTGGTGCATCTTATAGTCCGAAAAATATGGTATATTGCATCTACCAATAAACCTGCTCCGAGTTCTCTTTTTTTCTCCCACAGTTCTACTATAGAAACTTCAGAGACACTTTAAATTAGGAAGTTCTTACAGATAAATTATTTTACATTTGGGGCTATCTGAATACTGTATTTTTAACAGAGAGTTAACTATGAGGGTTGAATTGGATCAACCCCAATTTGCAATACATGAGAGCATGTTGGCAACAATATTTTTATATCCTTGCACAACCTGGCTTCCAACTTCTAGCCAAGAGGATGTTAGTAATTACATATTGCTTAAAATTAGGCATGCCTTTCTGAGGGAAGGCCAAATGCCTCTTTATTTAAAAAGGATAGATCTCTTCTTAAGGAGCTTTCCACTTCTTAAGACAGGCAGTTAAAAGCTAGTCTTAAAATCTACCATGCTTGGTAAGGGGATTGTGAGACTGCTGTCTTATCAATTGTAGCCAGTCCTGGATGAAGCAGATTATTCTAATGATACTGCCAAAAGTTTTCCAGTTTGTGGCAATATAACAATGTGATAGATAAAATCCAATAAAATAATGACACATTTCAAACTGGCTTCAGGGTAGGCTGTGGGTTGGCTGGCCTGATGGTCTTTGTTTGGGCAAGAAGAGGGTGTAGATCAGGGCAGGGTGTCAAACTCACGTTATCACAGCGGCGTCACATGGCGTATCGGGATTTTCCCCTTTCACTAAACCGGGGGTGGGCGTGGCCAGCATGTGACACATCTGGCTGTGAGTTTCACACCTCCGGTGTAGATTGTGTTCTCTCTTTGGCTATAGGTAAAGGTAAAGATTCCCCTCGCACATATGTGCTAGTCGTTCCCAACTCTAGGGGGTGGTACTCATCTCTGTTTGAAAGCCGAAGAGCCAGCTGTCAGAAAACGTCATCCGTGGTCATGTGGCCGGCATGTCTAAACGCCAAAGGCTCACGGAACGCTGTTACCTTCCTACCAAAGATGGTTCCTATTTTTCTACTTGCATTTTTTATGTGCTTTCGAATTGCTAGGTTGGCAGAAGCTGGGACAAGTAACGGGAGCTCACCCCATTACACGGCACTAGGGATTCAAACCGCTGAACTGCCGATCGACAAGCTCAGTGTTTTAGCCCCCGAGCCACTGTGTCCCTTATCTCTTTGGCTACAGATATTATCAATTTTGGTATTATAGATAACTGAGATTTAGAAATAGGAGCCACAGATCCAACAATGGTTCCATCTCTAGCTTGGACAGAATTGCTCAGAGTTGTCTGTCAGTCAAGGGAAGGTCAGTGATTGCAAGCTGAGTCATGGGTTCTTCCTTTTCTATATGCAGTGGAAGATTGCATATCCTCCTAAAAGGGAAGCAGCTTGCAGCATGAAGCTATTCTCATCCTTCCGATGAAAGCACTGAGGGCCTATGAGTGCACTGCAGTTGTTAAATCAAATAGGAGTTTTTGTTTGTGACCTCAACTGTCCCCCTTTCTGGAAGAGAATAACTTAATAGTGTGGTGCACACAATGGTAAAATCCAGGCCATGACCACGTTAATGTGTTCTATGTGGCATTGCCTGTGAGTCTTAAGCACCTGGAGGTTTTAATTGTTACATAACTAAACAGCCAGGTGAGTCTAGGAAACAATGCTAAGAGACCAGATTACACCTGTGCTTAAAGCATTGCACTAGATGCCTATTTGTTTCCAGGCAAAATGCAAATTGCTGCCTTTAAAGCACTATGATACTTAACTCTGGACTGTTTGAGAAAACTCCAGTCTGACTGAACGCATCTGAGGAAATCTGCCTACAATGGTGAATTTGACTAAACCTTCTCTGAGGGGCCTGACATCTTTACAAGCTTTAAAAAGGCCCTCAGGGCAATTTTTTTTCCCATGCAGGCTTCCACAGGCAGTTCCTTTTACCGTTAGTCCTTGACTTACAACCACAATTGAGCCTGAAATTGTGGGGGGATGAATGGAAACCTGCTTTCAACTGCTCCATAGGCAGCTTTCTATTCAGAGTCATGCTGTTTGGATTACAAGGGGCTCCAGGGCAGGGGTAAAATGTTCCCGGTTCAGACCGGATCACCTGATCCGATAGCGATGGAGGCGGGTGGTTCGGAGAACTGGTAGCAAAAATCTACCGGTGCCCCTCCCCCCATGCCCAGCTGAGCCGCGCGATCATCAGAGGTTTTTTTTTTTTTTTTACTTTTAAAAGCATTTTTTCTACAACCCCTTCGGCTGAAAAAATGCTTTTAAAAGTAAAAAAAAAAGCCTCTGATGATCGTGCGGCTCAGCTGGGATCGTCAGAGGCTTCTAAAAGCATTTTTTTCTGCAACCTCTTAAGGTTGTAGAAAAAATGCTTTTAAAAGAAAAAAAAAAGTTGGCCACGCCCACCCAGTCACATTAGCCCCCCACCAAGCCACACCCACAGAACCAGTAGTAACAAATTTTACATTTCACCACTGCCCCAGGGGTTTTCATGCAGCTGACAAACGAGGCCCTATTTGGGTGACATCCTTATTTACAATGAAACCCTAGAAGAGCACATCAAATTAGTGCGAAAAGTATTAAGAAAATTACGCAAAGCTATATGTAAAGTTGTCCAAATGTGAATTCCATAAGGATACTCTAGATTATCTTGGCTACCGCATTTCAAACCAGGGGATAGAGATGGATCCAGCAAAAGTGAAAGCAGTACTGGATTGGCAGCCCCCACGAACTCGCAAACAACTGCAAAGCTTCCTGGGGTTTGCAAACTTTTACTGGCAATTTATTCCCTCATTTGCTGAAATTGCACTTCCAATAACTGAATTATTAAAAACGGGGGGTCGGGAGGGTGGGAACCAACCAAGCCAAAACCTGGACAACTCCTGAAATGGACTTTATAATGTCAAAAAGCCTTTGAATTGTTGAAAAATACATTTCGCACAAGAACCCATCCTAAAATACCCAGACCTAGACCTCCCTTTCGTAGTGCAAGCTGATGCTAGTGACGTACCAGTGGCAGCGGTGCTTTTCCAGAAATGCGCAAAGGGAGACCTGCAACCCTGCACATATACGTCCAAAAAACTTACAGAAACTGAAAGGAGGTGGGTGGTATGGGAGAAGGCGGCTTATGCAGTCCGTTGGGCTTTACTGACTTGGACACAGTTTTTAGAGGGCAGCAATAACCCCTTCGAGGTATGGACAGACCATATGAATTTAGAAGCCCTAAAAACTCCCAGGAAACTCTCTCCAAAACAAATTAGATGGGCGCAGTACTTCAAAATATTCAATTTCCAATTGAAGTACCTCCCAGGGGGAAAAAAACTATTAGCAAATGGGCTGTCAAGAAAACCCCAATTTAACAGCAAACGAGAAGAAGTGATTCACCCAATAATTCCACCTTCCCCCGAGGAGGCGGCTCAGGTGATCACTTGGGCACAAGTCAAACGACCAGAAATCAAAGATAAATCAGAAATGACCAAAAAATCACAAAACAAACTAAGAACAGACCCTTGGTACCCAGAAAATAAAACCCTGTTAACTATTAGAGATGGCGTAGCATGGAAAGGATCCAAGTTATATGTCCCCAAAACCTTACATCTCCATGTACTTCAAAAAAGCCACAATTCAAAACAGGGAGGACATTTTGGTTATTTAAAAACCCTACAAATGGTCAGGAGACAGTTTTAGTGGCCAAAGTTGAAGCGCGACATTGAGGACTATGTAAAAAGTTTTGCCACTTGTGCTACCGTGAAGACCAGACCAGGAAAATCTCCAGGACTGTGGCAGACCCATCGCGACCCTGGGAGGAAATAGGAATGGATTTTATAGTGGATCTGCTGGAAAGTGGGGGAAATACAGTCATCTGGACCATAGTGGATTTATTCTCCAAACAGGCTCATTTTGTCGCGTGTCCAGGATTGCCATCAGCCAGGAAATTATCCAATCTGTTTGTTAACCATATCTATCGATTACATGGAGTACCACACAGGATAATTTCAGACAGAGGGGTGCAGTTCACTGTAAAGTTCTGGAGGGAGTTTATAAAAGCTATTGGGTCATCTCAAGGGTTAAGCTCATCTTTCCATGATCGGCGGAACAATCTAATGCGATGACTGGTCAATATTTAAGGTGTTATGTAAATTACCAACAGTCCAACTGGGCTGATTTATTGCCTTATAGCAGCACAGGGTTAACCCCATTCCAGATTAGTACTGGACTGGAATTTGTCCCCATGCCAGAGTTGCCAAGGGACTCCCCCTCCATCCATGTCAGTAAAAGAATGGATAGACTCCTTAAAGGAATACAAAAAAGGCTTTTGAGTGCAGCAGCAGAAATGCACAAGAAGCAAGCTGATAGACATCATTTGCAGCAATCTCTTTTCAAAGTAGGAGATAAAATTTATCTGTCAATTAAACACGTGAAATTACAGTTGCATTCTAGGAAACTGAGTCCAAAGTTCTTGGGACCCGTTCAAATAAACAAAGTAATAAATTAAGTAACTGTACAACTAAAATTCCCTCGCTTGTTTGGGAAAATACATCCAGTTTTCCACAGTAGTTTGTTAAAGCTGTTGATTACTTCTTCATTGCGGCCAGCAGACCGTGCCGCTCCCAAGCCTTTAATCATTGCTGGCCATGAACATTATGAAGTTAAAAGAATATTGGATTCTAGAATTTACAGAGGGCAGTTACAATATTTAATTCACTGGAAGGGGTATCTCATTTCAGAAGCCACCTCGGTAAACCTTCCTGTTAATCTGAAAGTTAATGCTGATAGATTGGTTTGGAAATTCCATTAAAGTATCCACACAAACACAAAGGGGATCTTGTAGCTGGCAGGGGCGGTTAAGTTTTATATGCATGTGTGTTGTTATATTTAACCTAATAGCAATCTTTTTGTATTCTGTATAGTTGCAGGAGTTTCTTTTCAATTGAGGGTGGGCAGCCTGTCGAGCCCGAATTTGACATATATGTAGCCATTTTATTTAGCTCTCTAGTATACTCATTTATTCCTTTTCTTTCTCTTTCCTATGTAAGGGTTTTTTTTGGGCTCGCCACATTCTAAAGATGGGGGGAAGGAGCGAATAGATAGTGAGGATTGTTTTGGCTAGTGGAAGGTGGAGTTTGAAGACATCGGGAAATGTGGATTGAATGTTTATTGGAGAATGTGACTTTTGAGGGGTGTTTCTAACTTGCAATATTAAGGGTTGTAATTCTGGTTTGTGTCAGATCCGGAATTACAACAGACTTTGCCAATTTGATAAGTACCGAAATAAAAGGAATTTGTTTTGGAAGATGGATTTTGCCTATTTCTTTTTTAAATGGGTTTCATCACTTGGAGACCTGACATTTCTATTGCTAAGTGAGACATTTGTTAAGTGACTTTTGCTCCATTTTATGATCTTTCTTGCCACAGTTGTTAAGTGAATCAGTTGTTAAGTTAGTAACATGGTTGTTAAGTGAATCTGGCTTCCTCACTGATTTTGCTAGTCAGAAGGTTGCAAAAAGTGATCACATGACCCCAGGGCACTGCAAACATCATCAATATGAACCAGTTGCCAAGCATCCAAATTCTGATCACGTGACTGTGCTGTAACGATCAAAAGTGTGAAAAATGGTCATAAGTTCCTTTTTTCAATGCCATTGTAACTTTGGTCACTAAATGAATGGTTGTAAGTCGAGATTGTAAGTTGTTAATATTATTAATTCTTCTTGTTTTATGCATTTGTTTTCATTGCTACTTTAACCATTCTTAAGATTTTGATTTTAAATTTGTTCACTCCTGTTGTGACCACTTGGTGGCAGGAGAATCACAAGAAAAAGTAGGGAGGGGTCAGGGGGCATATGATGGAGACAGGAAACACAATTTTCTTCAAAAAGTTGAAGAGTAGTTTCAGAGTTTAATATTTCATGGCGCCTGGAAGTTTTGCCTGGGGATATTTCGCTAAGCACTCCTGCCACCAAGTGGTAAAAATGTAACAAGGTTATTCCCAAACAGAGTATCGGTATTGCCAAGGTGCAACTAACAGGAATATGCCAACGCATATTTTATTTCAGGAATGATTATCACTTGACTGCTTTATCAGAAGACAAAAGGGGCTGCCTTTATAGGGAAGGTCAGGAATTCTGTCTGGAAGCCATTGGCTATTTTCACTTGGATTGGCTAATTTGCCCTTGCACAGATATGTCTTATGTGGCAGTTGTGCTCTTTCCTCGCCCAGGAGGCAGTGCCAGCCTCACAACTGGACTACTGTACTGTACTCTACCTGGGGCTGCCCTTGAAGACCAGACAGAAGCTACAGCTAGTTCAAAATGCAGCAGTGCGAGCAATAATGGGCACTCCTCATTGTGCCCATGTATCACTACTGCTACACTAGCTGTCATTTGGCTTCTGGGTATGATTCAAGGTGCTGATTGATACCTTTAAACCCCTTCATGGAATAGGACTTGGTTATCTGAAGGATCACCTTTCTCAGGTACATTCTGGAGAAGCAGTAGTGGAAATTTTGAGTAGTTCAGAGAACCGGCAAATACCACTTCTGACTGGTCCCGCCCCGCCTCTATTCACTCCCTCCCAAGTCCCAGCTGATCGAGTTCCAGCTGATCGGCTGGGTCTTCTTTTGTTGCCCTGCACATGGAGCTGAAAAGCAGGAGAGTGGGGTGGGGAGGGAATGGAGATTTTACAGTATCCTTCCCGGGGTGAAATGTACTTACTTTTCCTACCGGCTCACTGATGTCCATGCGCCGTATGTCATCTGCGCGCGCCGTCATCTGCGCATGCGCAGATGGTTAAAACTGGGACGTGATAACGTCCTGGTTTGGTGGGGGAGGAGCTTACCACCACTGGCGCTACCAGCTCTCCAAACTACCTGCAGACGGCACTACCGGCTTCTGCAAGCCGGATAGAGCCGGCAGCATTTCACCTCTGATCCTTCCCCTGGAGTGGGGTGGAAATAGAGATTTTACAGTATCCTTCCCCTGCCATGCCCACCAAGCCATGCCCATCAAGCCATGCTATGCCCATCAAGCCACGCCTACAGAACCGGTAGTAAAAAATTTTGAATCCCACCACTGCTGAGTTGGGTGTACTCCAGGTCCCTTCTATTAAAGGCTGCCATCTTGTGGGATCAAGGAAGTATGCCTTCTCTCTTGTGATCCCCATCCTCTAGAACAGTGGTCCCCAACCTTTTTATCGCCGCGGCCCGCTGAGCACGCGCAGGGGTGGGGGCACGGCCCAGGAGCTTTTGCGCACGGCCCATTGCGCACGGCCCAGGAGCCTTTGCGCTGCAGCGTTCATGTCCCCCGGCCGCTGCGCGGCCCGGTGCCAGGTACTCCACGGCCCGGCACCGGTCCGCGGACCGGGGGTTGGGGACCACTGCTCTAGAACAACATCCCCCCTCCCAAGATACAGACAACACCCTCTCTCTTGGGGTTCTGAAAAGTCCTTAAAACCTGGCTGATGCTAATGTGTTGGGCATGGTGATATGCACTATTATGCTTTTTAATAATAGTTGTTTTAGCTGGCTTGTTTTAATTTGGTATTATTTTGTAAGCCATCCAGAATCTCTTGGAACAGGAGGCTATAATAAATCTAATAAAATAAACAAAAAATAAAACTTAATGGAATTGTGAGGTGCCTTTTACCTGACAACATCAACTGCTCCGGCTCTGACTTTAGGGTCACTGCCCATGATGGAGACGCTGGCAGCAAAGGACCCATCAATGCTGAAGACGACACACTCCATTCCTCGAGGAAGGACAGTCAAGTAGCTTATGGCACTACTCTGATCTCCCCTGATGACCATGAAGGAACATAGAAAACAATTATAACAGAAAGCCATCATACCTTGGCCTTATATTGAGATCAGAAGAAAAAAAAACCTTCAGCTTTTCATATGATGGTCATAGCTTACTTAAATGATATAGAAATTCCAAGAAAGTATTAGTAGAGAGGAAGACTATCAAACTGTATCTTCCTTTTGTGAACACATAGCTTTGCATGTCCCATTACTTGGGAACAGCTATTAAGAGGGAGACATGCGTATGGACTACGTCAGATTGCAGTGATCTGTCAACGTGTTCATTCTGCAAGTGAATCAGCCCAAGGACATGCATAACGAAGGACATTTTTACTGCCAAATTCCAATAGCAAAATTCTTGCTTTCTGTGGCTCATGGTGATATTTATCTTTATAATAGTAACTGGCACTGAGTGATAAGGATTCTAAAATAGCGTAATAAAAATACTGTATTCATTACAACAGCAATGGGCAATTTGTGACCCGAGCTACAAGAAACATCATTTAGTCCCTTATTTGCAGCTCTTGGATCGTAACTGTAAAACTGGAAGCCAAAGCTTCCTGCCATGATATGGTATGGTATGAAAATAGATGAAAATTGGAGCGTGATCCCTAAAATAAGTATATTATAATTGAAAATAAATAATCTGGCAGGATTCAATCTGGACCGGTCATCAGGACCAGAGGTTTTGTTTTATGAGCATTTGGACTTGTGCTGGAGCCCATCTTCAGAGAACATCTAAAAAGCTACATACAACAGGCACCATATAAATACCACACACAGAGCACCCCAAAATACAGTCTGCTAGAGAGAAGTTCCCGGAAGATGAGCTCCAGCACGAGTCTGAAGGCTTGGAAGACAAAACCTCTGGTCCTGTTGACCCACCCAAATTGGATCCTACAACATTATTCTGGGACACGTATTTTTTTTTTTAAAAAAACTTGATTTATATGCCGCCCTTCTCCGGAGACTCAGGGCGGCTTACAATGCGCTAAGCAATAGCCTTCATTCTTTTGTATATTTATACAAAGTCAGCTTATTGCTCCCACAACTGGGTCCTCAATTTGCCTACCTTAGAAAGGATGGAAGGCTGAGTCAACCTTGAGCCTTGGCGAGATTCGAACCTGCAGTAATTGCAGGCAGCTGGTCTTAATAACCAGCTTAATAACAGGGTGCCTTAGACCACTGTACTACCAAGGCTCTTCGTTTTTTTCTTCGTATTTGTCTTCGTTCGTGATAAATAATTCCCCCCATCAACTCCCAGCCTCAAGCACATGTGTTGTAGAAAACTCTAACACTAGAATTTGATTAACATTTTATGAGAGTAGGACATAATCCTCAATCTCTCAACAATTTAAGGATGTATTCATATCCTTCCAGACTTACCTGACTACCATTTTAATAGGATAGACGCCAACAGCAAGTCTTTTGTCTTTGGGGACGTTGTATGAGATTCTACCACTACTATTGGTGATTTCTGTATCAAAATAGACCCAACGTCCAGAGGAAGGTTCGGTCACAATGAAGATGTCAACCTGAAAGATGAAAAAAGAACATGTGGTAAAATTCCTTTATGGAATTAAAATGCAGGAATAGAGAAGTTCAGGTTAGGCAAACAAATTCCTATCGACACACATACACAGTTAACACCAAAGTTCATGAAGGATATTATATTAGTCTCTCAAAGAAAAACTAGTTTTGCAGCATTTTAAAGCCTAAAACATTGTGGCAAAAGCTTTGAGGATTAGTAGCTATTTCAGCAGTATGACATCACTGACAATTTTTAGTCGGTTTTAATAGAAGCACAAGAAAAGCTCGCTGCTCTGTACTGTTCAGTCTGCAGCTAAAGCATGTGTCCAATTCTAGGTGCCACATTTTAAGAAAGACAGTGCCAGATGAGGACAATCCAGATGGCGAGGGGCCTTGAAACCAAGTCCAATGAGAAATAGCTGAAAGAGCACAGCATGTTTATCCTGAAGAAGAAACAATAAAGGGAAAATAATAGTAACTTTCAAACATCTGTAGGACTATCTCATAAAAGACAGAGCAAAATATGAATCACCAGTTAAAGATCTTGCAAAGAGTAGAGCATGAGCTTGGTCCCTCCTATATTTTTAAATTACATACTTTGCTTGTGAGATTCACTCTCTAACTAAAATATCTCCAACAGGCAGATCAAAAGAAATAAATACTTTGCTGCCTGAAACTCTGTGGACTGTTTCTAAGCAGAGTTGACACAAAGAACAAGGATCTGATTCAGAACAAGCCAGCTTCCTACAAGCATCCTCTCATACAGGGAAGGGCATAATTAAATGCTATAGAAATATTTGTCTTCAGAAAACTGCAGGCCATGGGATCAGAAGAAGCAATAGAGATGAAGTATTGAACTCATATCTAGTTTACAAGTTTGGAATATGGTCAGTTGATATGAAAATGCAGAATAGAAGAGCTTTTGGCAGTGGTGAAATCCAAATTTTTTTACTACTGGTTCTGTGGGCGTGGTGTGGCTTGGTGGGTGTGGCAGGGGAAGGATACTGTAAACTCTCCATTCGCACCTCACTACAGAAGGAGGATACTGCAAAATCCCCATTCCCTCCCCACTCCTGGGGGAAGGATATTGCAAAATCTCCATTCCCACCCCACTTTGGGGCCAGCCAGAGGTGGTGTTTGCTGGTTCTCCAAAGTACTCAAAATTTCCGCTACTGGTTCTCCGAACTGCTCAAAATTTCTGATACCAGTTCTCCAGAACCTGTCAGAGCCTGCTGCATTTCACCCCTGGCTTTTGATCTAATCAGCTACAGGGCTCTTTTCGTGTTCTTAAGGGCTTACATGTCTTCAATGGCTTAACAGGGAAGGAGGGAGAGAGGGAAGGATGTCCTTGGAATGTTACCTTTTCTCCTGTTAAAGCCACCATGTCAAGTGGTCCATACATGAACCGGCCAACTAGCAACTGAGGGCCATCTTCTGCAACAATGACATCATTCGATCTGTGGTTTGAAGTTACATTCTGAAAGGGAAACAAGGAAGGGAATGAAGTGACTGGATCATCCCAACCACTAACCAACCTAGAAAAAAGGTAGATTAGGAGAAACAACCCAAAGTCAGCCCTTACATGTTGATATGTGGATACGCCTTCTTGATCTTTTCCTTAACTCTGCATGTGTATGTTTGTGTCAATGCTGACTTTTAGGCAAGTTCCTGCAATTCGGCAAGATTTTGGAAGTGCTTTGCCATTGCCTGCTTTCTAGGACTGAGAGCTAGTAGCCCAAAGGACGCTCAGTTAGCTTTTTGCCTAAGGTGGGACAAACTGATGGTCTCATGGCTAGCCTTGTGCCTTCATCACTACACCTAACTGGACCTCTTTCCTTAATTACACCTTTGACAAATTAAAATAAAATTCCACTGAGATTTATATGCACCCATTTCAGGCTTCGAGTGTTGCTTTTATATTTTAAACAACACAGGATGATCAGAAATCCTTCTGGCTTTCTTGCCATCTTTGAAAAAGTACCTGGCCACAAAAAGTATTTCATCACTTCCTATCTTTCAAATGCTGATCCAACTGCTATTGTTATTATTAAACTTTATTACAGCCCTCTATTTCCATAGACTACTTGGACAAATACAAGATAAGAAAAGCAATTAAAAAGATATAACCCTAAAGGCAGCCCTGTCTAAAAAAAAATCAAGCGGTAACAAATTGAATCAAATCTAAAATGCATCAACTCATTTTGGTGGCGCAACCACTGCTGCTCTTGTTTTCTTTTTCTTTTAAAAACTGGTTTAAAATGGCTTCAGTTTCTTTGAAACATGCTAAATTATAGAGCCGTGATGGCGAACCTATGGCACGCGTGCCAGAGGTGGCATGCAGCGTCCTCTCTGATGGCACACGAGCTGTCACCCCAGTTTAGCTCCGCTGCGCATGTGTGCACACTACCCGCCCGGCCAGCTGCTCTTCGGGTATATGCTGCGCATGCGTGTGGTATGTGTGTGTGTGCGGGGGTCCCCCGCATGCACGGGGGGGCAGGGGCATGTGGCAGGCGCATGCATGTTGATGGGGGGGCAGGGCGCATGCAGGGGCACACTTTGGGCACTCAGTCCGGAAAAGGTTAGCCATCACTGTTATAGAGGGATTGGATAAAAGGCAATCCTGTACCCTTAGCTTGACTTGGGTTCTTTTGCGCAGCCATTTCTCTCGGGGATTTGAAGGGCTGAGAGTCACTGGATCCAAACTGTTGCTTTCCTTGACATTGATGGTTTCAAATCTCATCACCTGAAACGAGACATAAACATGGGAACAGCACTCAGCATAGTCATTCTGCCAAAGAAGTTCAAAATAATGAATGAATCTTGGTACACCACAGGTTTAGAACAACGGCTTACTGCTTGCAAGAAGTTCTTGTCTACGGGAAAATTTGCATAAATCTTTTTGGCCTTTCATTAGTTTAACTGCATTTTTATCTTCTCTTACACAGTTTGGTGAAAAGAAGGACTAGGGGTGACATGATAGCAGTGTTCCAATATCTCAGGGGCTGCCACAAAGAAGAGGGAGTCAAACTATTCTCCAAAGGACGTGAAGGCCGGACAAGAAGCAATAGGTGGAAACTAATCCAGGAGAGAAGCAACTTAGAACTAAGGAGAAATTTCCTGACAGAACAATTAATCAGTGGAACAACATGCCTCCAGAAATTGTAAATGCTCCAACACTGGAAGTTTTCAAGAAGAGATTGGATAACTGTTTGTCTGAAGTGGTGTAGGGTTTCCTGTCTAAGCAGGGGTTTGGTTTAGAAGACCTCCAAGGTCCCTTTGAACTATGTTATTCTATTCTATTCTACACTGAAAGGTTTTGCCGATTTTATCCACGCAGCAACTGAATTAGTTAAATGAGGCAGAGATTTCCTGCAAGGCCATCAATTCAGTTTTGTGGCCAAGATGCACATTGTATTTGTGATCCACAGATATAGACAGAGGGAGAGCACACAAGGAAGGCATTGTTACCTGTCTCAGAATGAAAGCAATCACATCTGTTGATTCCCAGTAGCTGGCATGGAAGAGATGTGGCAAAGCCACTGTAGGAAAGGCTGTGAGGACATCCGGACAATACAAAACATAATCTATTCGCTTGGCTCCCCACCATTTGGAAGTTACTGTGGAAAACAAACAGGCATTTCATTTGTCTATTCCACATCACAGAAGCTCCACAGATCCTACCTGAGAATAACATCAGCCGGAAGGAGCAGGGTGAACTCCTCAGAAGAGAGATCCGGGGCAAAAGCTAAGTGTAGCTGTTGACAAAGGCTTCTCTTGAGTTATTCCACCAAATTGCCAACAGTAAGCCAACCCAAAACAGGCAGGGCTTCCCAAGGAGAAAGCTACCAATAACTACTAGTCCAAAATGACTTTCTAGTGTTAATTGCACTAGGCTAATTGCACTCACTGTTTGCTATGTTGCTGGACAATAAGCTCTCTGTTGACCCAGAGCTCTCACTGTTGCTGCTGCCCAGGCTCCCTCTTCGCATTTTCCCTTGTACAGCATTGGGAAGTGCTAAAGTCTCTTGCATGAAGGATGACTTTGCAGAACTGTCTTCAGCAAACAGGCTGCTATGATACTGGAGTGTATCAGCTGTAAGGTGGGAAAGAGCTGAATCAGATAAGGGAGAAATCTTTTTGCAAGTAAAGTTTCTGAAAAATAGTACCAGACATATTGATCAGGATAAGCATTCGGGCATGGAAGGACTACTAAGCTCTATGAAGCCATTTAGATACCGGTAATTTTCCCCGATCTTATTTGTTATTTCAGCCATGTATGTTTTCTAATGGGCATAGATATCATATGGGCAAAGCCAGGAAGGAAGAACCACACAGATTTCAGAAAGCCAGGCCAATGAATAGGGAATATGAAACATTCCTTTCCTTATCAAAACAATAACAAGTGGAGTTTGCTATCATAATTTTGGGATACATGACATAGAAACACAATCTTGGTGAAACACAGGGCCTGCAAGTAAAGGGGGAGGGGGGAAAGGCTCACCCCAGAGTCTAATAATTAGGGTATTATGAGAATTAAACTCCACATCTGGAAGACAATGAGTTTCTAATATGTATGGATGTATGTATACACTGTATGTTGTCTAGAGGCAAGCTTGGATGATAAGGTGCATGGATTGAAAAAAAATCATATGATGTCATCTTCTGGGCAAACCATGAGACGGTGCCTTGAAACTCCACAGACAGCATAAGCCAATTCTTGGCAGAGAATTATTATTCATTCATCTCTGTAAAGATCATTTTACATAATAGTCTAGACGGCTGAGGCATGCAGAAGTACTTGGAAGACAGGGTACATGACTACAACAGGTTGTGAACTGTACAAGCCAAAGACATAAATACCTAAGAGGTGGGATCTTCCATCTCCCAAGGGATATCTCTGGTACCTTGGTACGGTACAGGGAGGCAGAAGATGGAATTTATTCTCTAATAATGGCTCCAGTCTGGAGGCGGAAGGGTCAGCTGAGTGGAAGAGGCTGTAAACTTGACTGCAGGCTGGATGTACTTGGCAGACTAAACACAGGGAGAAAGGATGACTCACAGTCATCATGAACTATTTAGATATATCTTCAGAGTACAAAAAGAAAATACAAGGAGTTACAGACTTGTCATTAGATTTCCAAAGATGTAAAATTCCCATGGAAGAAGAGTCAAGTACTTTGGAAACAATGGAGTCAATTCTGAGCTATGTCCTGCCTTCTGCCTTCCAATCCATCCCCATGGTTTAAGCAAATATATGTTAATGAATAACAATACTTTCCACTTGCTAAATGAGAATTCTGTGTTCTTTCTTCCTATAAACAAAGCAATTGTTTAAAAAAAATTCAATCACTTTAGTAAGCCATCTCTGAATCAAATTGTTTCTTAAGATTAAAAAATATTCTTTAAATCAGGGTCCAGTGTACCCAAACAAGCCACCTCCTGATATGCTGGATTTCACAGAAAGTGGGCACCTGAGTGAATACAATTTGATGGGTGTGATACTTAGAACACATATCAAATAAAATTCCATACTTTCAGAAAACATATAATGGTCCCATTCAAATTCCAGTCCAACAAATTAAAAACCTCAATACTGTTTTCTTTCTGCACATAAGCTTGCTAGAGAGGACTTCAACCATATTTCTAATCAAACTTTTAAGATGGAGTCACCGTATCTCCTTTATACAATTGTATAGAGATGACAACCAACGTTGTTGTCTAGCTCCAGTTTTTCTCTATTTTTAATTTGCTTCTTCCATCTTTTTTTTCTTTACCCGAATAACTGGGCAAGAAATGAGCAGACAATTGCAGAATAGTAGCATAATAATTGTGAGGTTGGTAAGAGGGATCCATGCAGTTAAGGAAATGCACATTCTTGGAGAAGCTGGGTAGAAAGTATGATTCTCCTTTTTCTATTCTTTGATTTGCATTTTTTTATGGTTGCAAAGCTAGTTCACCTCCTAGGGCAAGGGGTTAAGACCCTGGCCTCCTTACCACTTGCCTTTCTTTGAAGCAATGTAAATGGAAGGCATTTGAATAGTTTAAGCTTGTAATTCTTCCTACAGAATTCTTAACAACCTTAATTAATTGCTTTCTGAAGCACTGTTCTTTTTTAGAGCAAAGGAATTGTTCTACCTCCCTCACATCCTGCTGATATTAGCTACTTAATCAACATGCTTTATTATGCTATATTCTTCTCTTTAAATGATTGTTCATTTACACAATAACAAAATGAAAATATTGGATTTCTAAAAATGGAACTGCTAAGAGACCTGAATAAGGCGAGGTGCTGAATTGCTGATAAAAGCGAGTTTTAAGGACAAATAATCAGCAAGAAAATTAAGCTTACAAGGAACCTATCTATTCTGTGAAACTGATAAAACTGGAGTTGTTCATAACAATGAAGATATATAAACATGATGAATTAGAAAAGGTTTATCAAAATGCTTTATCATTCTCTAACGTCTCTTTTTTGTTCCAAAAACAAATTATTTCTAGCCTAGACTGGCTTTACAAGACAAAGTTGTCATTACTCAACATTCACAAAGAGACAATTCCAGCACCTGCCTATCTGTGTTTCATCACTAATCAAAGCTGTTATAGCAAACTAAATAGGAAACTGCGCTTTGAAAATCAGATTAGAATTTCCCCAGGGCTAAGCAAAGAACAATCCAATGGTATTAATTGCTGTAGTAAGCCTGGCATTTTACACCAAATGTCTGCTCTGTCAGACCTGATTAATAAATCAAATAAAACTTCAGTGTTTAAAGCACAGATTGGTCCACAGATGAATAATTTCCACCGGCAATGGATTGATTCTTGTTATACAATTGAAAAGACCTCTTAAAACTGATATTCAGCTTGAATGACAAGAACCCACAAAATGGATTATTTCAGAAATCTTGATACTGAACACAATGTTTGCAATGGTCTCAGCTGCCGTTAAATAAAAATCTAGTCTTTAACAAGTGGGGAAAAGTGGGAAGAAAAGCATCATCATGAGAAGGACCATCACTGTTTTGAAAACTGGTTAAGATTTGTGGATTTTGAGATGTTGGAACTACTACTTTTTATGGGAAAATCCCTTTTCAAAAATAATTTTCGAAAAATAGCACTGAACCTCCTATAGTCTGCCCAAAGAAGTTTGTGCTCTTCAGAGGACAAAAGTTTGGCCAAAAGTAGCCGACTATCAGCTGACAGATAGCTACTCACTTACCTTCCAGACTGGGCAGGACTGTCCTCCGCATAGCCAGCACCAAACCGAGAGGTGAACCAAAGAGGAAGAAATCAGACACTTCAAATTCAAATCGCCCCAAATTAACATCCAACGTGCTTGAAGTGTTTGTTGGGGGAAACTCTGCATCTTCATTCAACATCGTTGAGTGGATGCTGGGAAAGAGAATAAGAAGAGTGAAACAAAGTGGCTCCATTCCACAATGATGATAGACTTGAGGCTGAAATCAATTAGACAAAGACTAAAGGTAGTCCACGACTTACAACAATTCACTTAATGACCATTCGAAGTTACAATGGCACTAAAAAAGTGACTTATGACCATTTTTCACACCTATGACCGTTGCAGCATCCCCGTGGTCATATGATTTACATTTGAATGCTCGACAACTGACTCACATTTATGATGGTTGCAGTGTGCTGGGATGCATGTGTTTCCCTTTTGCAACCTTCTGACAAGCAAAGTCAGCAGAGATATCAGATTCACTTAACAACAGTGTTACTAATTTGACAACTGCAGTGATTCACTTAACATATGTGGCAAGAAAAGACCTAAAATGGGGCAAAATTCACTTAACAAATTCTCACTTAGCAACATAAATTTTGGGCTCAATTGTGATCATAGGTTGAGGACGACCATACCTGTAATATGTTTAAGGGTTGCAAATATATTGGTAAGTGAATCAATGTATAAAATTGGGAATGGGTGCATTTCTGGACAAAATTTCAACACAGGAGGCAGAGAGAAGCAGGTTTACTTTCACCAACCAGGAGAACAATTTAGCTTCTGGGAGGGCTTTGGACTGTTTATTTTGGAAGCAGGCAAAATATTGTTATTTATGTTTGTGAGCATGCACTTTTGTGAGTGTGTGATGTCAGTCATTTCCTTTATCTAATCTATTCCAAATAAACAAGAATGAAAGAAGACTTTATATTTGCAAATACAAAATTCAGCTTATGAATAAACATAAAGGCAGCAACCAGAGTTTTTGAATGCAGAACTATCAGCACTAAAAACCTATAGACTTTCTAATACCTATTTTTCCATCAGTTATGAGGTTTGCGCCCTCTGTACAATTTTTTAAAATCTGCAATATTATGATATACTATCTGAGAAGTAATTGGAAAACCTACTTTCATGATGGTGTCTCTCATATGGAAGGGGCTCCAGAGTATACCTGTGTGTTTTTCAAAAGCTCTCTTTGGCAACCTGAATGACAAGGTAGGTAAATACCAAGTCCAGGCCATACAGCCGACCTGACATTATCTACTCATTGCTTAGTTCACACTAAGTCTTGCTCCTGTTTGCTTGAACTAACACTTTCTTCATGCAAGGTTTTTAGTTACCTGGATAGGAAAGCATGATGGTTTGTTATGCTATCACAGTCATAGTTGGAGCAGTCACTTTGTTTCCGAGGCAATGGTTGTCTGGGCTCTTCATTCTCCATTATTCCTGAGATATCAATATTACTTTTGCTGAGGCGCTTGAGGTCTTCTAGATTTGAATCTTCAGCTGAAACAGGTTTATCCTAGAGAAAATTTATTTGTATGTTTGTTTATTTTAAAGGGGAAAATTACTCTGATGATACACATGAAGGGGCTGTAGTGTTGATACAATTTTCATTCCCAAAGTTTACTGCAATCAACAACATGAAGTTAGTTTTTAAAACTAACATATATATGTGGCAAAATTTAGGATCTTTGGACAACGAGAGAAGAACAACAACAGAACAACAGATTCCAGAATAACAGAGTTGGAAGGGACATTGGAAGTCACTAGTCCAACCCCCTAACCCTAACCCTAACCCTCTACTATTTCAGATATCTGTCCAGTCTCTTCTTAAAAGCCTCCAGTGAACACCCACAAATTTTGAAGGCAAGGTGTTCCCCTGGTTTATTGTTCTCACGGTCAGGAAATTTCTCCTTAGTTCTACGTTGGTCTTCTCTTTGATTAGTTTCCATCCATTGTTTTGTGTCTTGCCTTCAGGTGATTTGGAAAATAGGTTGATCCCTTCTTCTTTCAGGTAGCCCCTCAAATATTGGAACACTGCTATCATGTCACCCCTAGTCCTTTTTTTCACTAGACTAGACAAACCCAGTTCTGGCAACTGTCCTTAATATGTTTTAGCCTCCAACCCCTTAATCATCTTTGTTGCTCTTTTTTGCACTCTTTCCAGAGTCTCAACAACTATTTTATAATGTGGCGACCAAAACTGGATGCAGTGTTCCAGGTGTGGTCTTACTAAGTTTTTATAAAGCGGTACTAATATTTCACCTGATCTTGATTCTATCCCTATGTTTATGCAAATTAGGATTGCACTGGCTTTTTTGGCTGCTGCCACACACTGCTAGCTCAAATTTCATAGCAATCATACGAGATTGCTATGCACCTGTATTGGTGCATAGTGTACATATACAGTAAGCTCACAGGAGTTTTATACCATTTCCCTGTCATGGCATTTCAAATAGTTCACAGCTTTCCAGTTAGCAAAACTCATATTGTAGATGTTAAGCTATGCAGTGGCTGCCTTCTCTGACATTCTCCCATGCATACCTGAACACTGCTGCTGCTGCCTCTTCTGCTGCTGAGTTGGCTTTCATCTGCTAGTCCTGTGCTATAGCAAATGGCATCAAAGCCCAACATTCCTCCTACACAGTCCCCCACAAGGCACACCTGGAAGACCAAGAAGAAGCACCAATTTTGTGATTTGGCCCAATCAGAGAAGTTCACTTTGAGCCCTATGTCGTTACAGTCACATACCATACAGTATTATGATTAACAAAAAAAATATTTCATGGCTATTTTTATAGCTTCACAGGATTGCCTGGTTCACACAGCATCGTGGCGATACTGCAAACTTTCTAATGTTTTAGCGTTGTGTAATGTGTGGTGAGAATCCAAAGCCAGACACAGGTGCGTCACAAATCTTCCAGTCACACAGCAAAGACATGAACGCAGGAAGGAACTTACAATAGAGTATGGCTCTTTACAGAGAGAAAATATTTCTTGTAGTTACCATACTGGAAATAATAAAATAAGTTTTCAAAATGTGAATTCACTTATATCAGCTGCATCGATAAAATAAGCTGATATAGCAAGTTTGCACATAATCAGTATCACATAAATGAGACATAAAATATAGAGAAATTAAATTAAGGTGTTCACATTACTATGAAAATCAGGGATAGGGATCATTCAAAATTGCACTGGATTGTAGCAATCTTAAGAAAGGTTAATTCTCCAAGCCATTTCCCTGGATATAAACATGCTTACTTCAACTATAATTTACTTATTATAAAAGAACCTAGTATTGGTTCAGGACTACACCTTCTCAAGTCTAAAGAAGCAGGCTTCTACTACACCATTATGCTAATTTATCCTCTTGTTTCTAATTCCCCAGACACTGTTTTTTCTATTGCTTTCCTTCCAAAGTTCTGTGAGAACTCAACCAGTTCAATCCGCAGTCCAGTCTGGCATGAAAAGCAGTATGATATGAAAAAGAGAATCTGGAGACCACAACTACTAAGCTTTTATTTAGCGCCAGTACTGTGCAACGTACATCACTACTCATTAGTAGAACAGAAGAGTAGAAAAAAGAATGTTTTTCCCCTTCCTTTTGGGGTTTTGAATAATAATAATAATAATAATAATAATAATTTTATTTCTATACCGCCCTTCTCCCGAAGGACTCAGGGCGGTGTACCGCCTATTTAAAAACACAAAAAACACGACAACAATTTAAAATTTAAAATCATTAAATAATTAGGCTCCAATTAAAATCCCAGAAATTTAAAATACCCCAATTTAAAACGTTATGTTAGTAACCCTGCCTGGCGGAACAACAGGGTCTTCAGAGCGCAGCGAAACACCCGGAGGTCGGAAATCTTTCGTATTTCGGGGGGCAGTTCATTCCACAGGGCTGGAGCTCCCACAGAGAAGGCCCTCCCCCTGGGTGTCGCCAGCCGACATAACTTGGCTGATGGCACCCGGAGGAGACCCTCTCTGTGGGAGCGGACTGGTCGGTGGGAGGCTATTGGTGGCAGAAGTCGGTCCCGAAGGTACCCGGGTCCTATGCCATGGAGTGCTTTAAAGGTGGTAACCAACATCTTGAATCGCACCCGGAAGACCACTGGGAGCCAGTGCAGCTCGCGCAGGAGGGGTGTCACGTGGGCGCAACGGGTTGCACCCATAACCACCCGCGCGGCCGCATTCTGGACCAGTTGGAGCCTCCGAGTGCTCTTCAAGGGGAGCCCCATGTAGAGAGCATTACAATAGTCCAACCGGGAGGTGACAAGGGCGTGAGTGACCGTGCGCAAGGTGTCCCGATCCAGAAAGGGCTGCAACTGGCGAATCAGGCGAACCTGATAAAAGGCCCCCCTGGCCACGGCCGTCATGTGCTCTTCTAAAGACAGCCGTGTGTCCAGGAGGACACCCAGATTGCGAGCCCTCTCTGTGGGGGGCAAAGATTCACCCCCAATAGTCAGCGATGGCACCTGCTGACTATATCGGGGCGCCGGAAGCCACAGCCACTCGGTCTTGGAGGGGTTGAGTCTGAGCCTGTTCCTCCCCATCCAGGCCCGCACGGCCTCCAGGCAGCGGGACATCACATCAAGGGCATCGTTGGGGTGGTCTGGGGTGGAGATGTACAGCTGAGTATCATCAGCGTACAGATGACACTTCACCCCAAAACCACGGATGATCTCACCCAGCGGCTTCACATAAATGTTGAACAGGAGAGGCGAGAGGACCGACCCTTGCGGCACTCCCCATGCGAGATGCCTCGAGGTCGACCTCTGTCCCCCTGCCAACACAAACTGCGAGCGGTCGGAGAGGAAGGAGGAGAACCACCGCAAAACGGTGCCCCCTATTCCTAACCCCCTCAACCGCTGCAGCATGATACCATGGTCGATGGTATCAAAAGCCGCCGAGAGGTCTAATAGGACTAGGACAGAGGAGCAACCCCTGTCCCGAGCCCTCCAGAGATCATCCACCAACGCGACCAATGCCGTTTCAGTGCTGTACCCCTGCCTGAAGCCCGACTGGTACGGGTCTAGATAGATAGCTTCATCCAGGTGCCGGGGAAGTTGTCGTGCCACCACGCTCTCAACAACCTTCGCCACAAAACGAAGGTTGGAGACTGGACGATAGTTGGCTAATTCAGCCGGGTCCAGGGAAGGCTTCTTGAGGAGGGGCCTCACTACCGCCTCTTTCAAGGCGGCAGGAAAGGCACCCTCACTCAGAGAAGCACTTATAATCCCCTGGAGCCAGCCTCGTGTAACCTCCCGGGAGGCCAGCACCAACCAGGAGGGACACGGGTCCAATAAACACGTGGCGGCACTAATCTTACCCAGAACCCTGTCCACATCCTCGGGAGTCACAGGATCAAACTCCTCCCAGGTAACATTCTCAAGACCTGCCCTCGTCTCCTCCCGTGGACTCATCCAGTCGGAGTCCAAGCCATCCCGAATCCGAGCGACTTTATCGTGCAGGAATTGCACAAAATCCTCAGCGCGACCCTGCAAGGGATCTTCCCGCACTCCCCCCCGGAGGAGGGAGTGGGTCACCCTAAACAAGGCGGCTGGGCGGTTCTCTGCAGATGCGATAAGAGCGGAAAAGTGGTTAGACTTTGCCGCTTTTATCGCCACTAGGTAGGTCTTGATATAAGACCTCACCTGTGTCCGGTCGGAGTCGGATTGGCTAGTCCTCCAAATGCTCTCTAGGCGTCTTTTCCGACGCTTCATCTCTCTCAGCTCCTCAGAAAACCAAGGAGCCAGTTGAGATCAGCATCGGGTCAGAGGCCGCAAAGGCACGACGCGGTCCAAAGCTCCAGCGGCCGCCCTTTCCCAGGCGGCCACCAGCTCTTCAGTCGAGTCGTGTGTTAGGGTCTCAGGGCACGGCCCAAGCTCCGTCAGGAACCTTTCGGGTTCCATCAGGCGCCTGGGACGGAACCATCTAATTGGCTCCGTCTCCCTGCGGCGGGGGGCGGCGGTAGGAAAGTCTAGTTGGAGGAGCGAATGATCTGTCCATGACAAGGGTTTAATGTCTAGGTCCCCTCTACCAAGATCATTCAACCACTGACCAGAGACAAAAATCAGGTCCAGAGTGTGTCCCCCTATGTGAGTGGGGCCTTGAACTAACTGGGTCAGGTCCATGGCCGTCATGGAAGCCATGAACTCCCGAGCCGCCTCTGACGCCTCACCCGCGGATGGAAGGTTGAAATCCCCCATGACGATAAGTCTGGGGGTATCAGCCGCCACCCCGGCAATCACGTCGAGTAGCTCGGGCAGGGTCGCTGCCACGTGGCAGAGAGCCAGGTACGCAGTCAGCAAACCCATCTGCACCCCACGGCCCCACTTTACACAGAGGGACTCACATCCGGCTATCTGAGGAACAGTGGTCTCCCTCGGACAAAGACTTTCCCTAACAATCACCGCCACTCCCCCACCCCTCCCCTGGGCCCTTGGCTGATGAAATGCACGGAAACCTGGCGGGCACATCTCAACGAGGGGGACCCCCCCCCTCCTGGCCCAACCAGGTCTCCGTAATACCTGCCAGGTCCGCACCCCCCTCCGAAATAAGGTCACAAATGAGGGGGGCTTTATTAACCACCGACCTGGCATTACACAACATCAGCCGCGGACCCAGGGCCTGAGACTCTACACAACCCAGGACACGAGTCACGCATCGGGGGCCGGAGTGCGCAATCGCTCGTAGACAGCGTATGCGCACCCCCGACACTTGATATGGCCCCCTGCGTCCGTCATACCTGCCCCTCCCACTCATTATTTCAATTTCACAGCCCTTCCTGTCATCCCCCTGCTTCCCGGTTAAATTTCCTTTCGCGACCCTCCTGCTGCAACTAATCGACCCATCATCCCGCTCAGTTGCTATCTGGACCCCCCCAGGTCCGCTTTTACAACCCCCCCTCCCTCCCGGGTCCCCTTAAAAGGAAGGAAGTTAAGGAGATTTTTTTCTCCTCATAAATTTTATCTCCTCTTCCACATAATATTTTTTCCATGGAAATGGTTTTTATTGCATTTTTTGAGGATCAATAGTGGAGGAGAGGAAAGTTATGTCAAGGTGAGGCTTGGGAGGAATGGCTGATGTTGTAAGAAAACTAAAATGGGTGATTTTTGTAGGAATCCTTAAGTTAGAATTTCAGGGACGATGTTCTTCATTCCTACTTAACAGAAAAAAATGAGATGCTGAAAAACCTACTCCAATGGACTGCCCCTCTCTTCCCGAACTGCACCTATCTGACCACAAAATAACTATTTATCAAATAAGAACTGATTTTTCCTCTGTTCTCTCTATTTTTTGATATCACATCCTCTACAGTTTCCATTTCAGAGTTATTTGTTAGTTGAAACATGAAATAAACATAGGATAAAGTTTAAAAAGTCAATGAGCCAGTATAAGTAACTACAAATGGTCCATCAACATGTCTCTAGAATTCTCCAAAGTTGAGCCAGCATCCCAGAGTTATTACTTATGCAAATAACTCAAGGAGGCAAACATATCCAACACACCTTCCTCCTCTTATTTACTCCACAAGAACAACACTGTGAGGTGGGTTGGGCTGTGAGTTACTGGCCTAAAGTCACCCAGATGGCTTTCATGACTAAGGAAGGACTTGAACTCATGGTCTCCCACTTTCTAGCCTAGTGCCTTAACCACTAGACAAAATTGGTGACATGATATTTCCTTTTTTTAATTTCACAATTATGTAGAAAGTTACCCCTGTTAAAAATTTTAACAGACAACACTTATTTCCTGAAACTTTCCAAGCACCAATATTTGCAAGGTGAAATGGGAAGAGGGAGAAATCCACTCCACTCTCTCAAATGACAGCACTCTATTACTATCATGCCTCTGTAGCCCTCAGAAACTGAAAATAAGTGTGGTCTCTGCCTGAAACGTAGATTTCCTTTCCATTTAGATCAGTCCACAAGCGTCATACCATCTATTTCAAATACCAAGATTTCAGGAAGCAAATTATACATGGAGCAAAAGTACAAGGGCTAGGAGCCTGATATATTGTTTAATTTCTTATTTTGTTACTAGTAGCGGTGGAGTATTTTCTGATTAAAGAAATAAAGAATGAAGTATATACTTTCTGCACAAAAGAAATTTTATCAGTTTCAGTGTACTGATATGATGTCTTTTAGGTTTTCCAGCAGGAAGAAGAGTGGTCATACCTGCCCATTAAAGCCTGCCCCATCAGGAGATCCAAGAAATTCATTATAAACTTGGTTGGCTCTGCTGATCACCATGGCAACCGCATTCTGGTACTGAGGAGAAGAGATCGCCAACAAGGGCAAGGCGGCCAGCGGGATGTGATCTTCACTGCTACTTAGAGATGTCTCATCATAACTGTAAGGATTCAGGCTAAATGGAGAGAAGGGGATGGCAATGCAAATTATCCACAATTAAGAACAGGAGCATTATAAATATTGGGTTACATTGAGGATGGAGAAAAGATATGGCAATTTAACATGAACCAGGACACAATCAACTGAACTGACATTAGTCACCCCCAGTAGTCCAATTTTTAAAGGTTTTGCCGCTATTATCATGATTTTCCCGGGAAATATATAGTGTAGTAGTCTTCCCTTTGCTTTCTGCACCGCTGTGAACCCCCTGTTCAAGTGGCTGCCACCACACCATGTGCTGTTCTTCTGAAGCCGTTCCGACCAATATGGCCTTCTCCTTCAGTCGATACTGATGAGCCAGCTGCCATACACCAGGCCTGTTGGTCCACGGGAGGTATTTGATTCCCTCCAACCCGCCATTACAGCATAAAGCCATACTGGGTAGGGCCCCACAATCTGCCACCCGGGGACATGCTCTGTGGGGGTTCCAGGCTCCCCCTGAAATGCCATGGCTTCATGGCTTCAAAATCTAAGGGACTGGTTTGGATAAGCTCAACAGCACTTTTTCATGCGGTTCTTGATAAAAATAGGATCGCCAACATGATCACTAATGTCTGATGACGGATATGGCACAAGAAGAAGAAGTAGTCCAATTCTTCAAAAGTATTTTGAAGACCATCTATTTCCTGGTAACAAGAAATTTTACTTTTTGTGGGTAAAAATAATACATTTGCATAAATATGTTGTTAAGCACCTATTTGTTTTTAAAAATACAAACTCAAGTAAGTTGGCCATCCTCTCATGACACTCTCTTATCACTGCCATTTTCTCTATGGCCCTCTATGGCAGGGAAGGAATTATCTTTAAACGACCAGGTAGTTTCCTTGGGTCTTTCTCCTTGAACTTTCTGGCAGTCTAAACAGTCTTTACCTGTTTCTGCTTTAGAGCTTGCCTACTTTTCATACATACCATCCTGCCTGCATCTTACATACTAATGGAGAAGGTCTTCCTGGGGCTGGTTGAGATGAACAGTATCCTGACCCATGTGAATAAGATTTGTCATGCCACAAACTCAACTTGCTTGATATTCCTAATGCACTTTGCCCTATTAACCTGCAGTTGGCAACACGTGGTCAGGAGCTCATGATCCTCAGCTGAACACAAGATGGAAGGAGACAGTACACCAGGAAATTAGCTTCTCCAGCTTAAAAATGAAGGAGAGAGACCCAAGCATTTCTCTGGATGTAGAGAGATGGGGAAGAAAAGTCATATTCCTGAGATCTCAAGGGAACTGGCATTTTGGACAGAAAAACACCAGCACTGGCTTGGTGTTATCAACATGCAAGTGTCCAACACAGAACTTCGATATAGTCCCATGCAGTACAGTTTGAGAGGCCTTTTTTTATGATCACACCAAAACATGGGATTGACTGTTTGGAGAGACTCTCCTTATAGTCTTTCACTAGTTGATGAAAGCCTTAATTAGGAAGAGGAAGACATTTGTTTTAACAGCATGTAAAATTTAATTGCTGTCTTTTGTTTGCTACTGTCAGTCTGTTTTTTTCATTAATGCATACTATTTCTCTTGGAATGATCACTCCAACTGGTTTCAATTGTCAGCTATTCCAAGAAAAGTGTCAGCCCCACTTAATAAGGGGAGAGGAATTAGTGAATTGCTAAATAAGAAAATTTAAATGGTGGGAGAACAAAAAATAAAAATGAAAGCCTGATGGTGAAGTTCAACTTTGGGTAAAATGAGAAGGGAAGCAATGGCTGCAGCAGCCATTACATCTTCCGTCTCCTTACTTTGGTAAACCTGATTAGGGAGAAAAGATGTTTACTCTTGTGTGAATAATTTTTGGAGACTACCGGTAGTTGCTAAACTTTTTGACAAAACATTGCTAAGTAACACACATGCATACACACACACAAAGGGAAAGGTGAAGGAATATGGAGGCATGGGCAAATGAACAGTTTAGAAGTTTCCATAGTTGTGAAATAAACGTGCTAATTGCACACTCTTTTGTGCCTTGCTCTTCACACATCTTGTACATTCTGCTTGTCAGCACAATGCAAATTCCAGGTGAAAAAAAGGATGGGAGCAATCCTGCCCATATGGCTGTGCAAAACTCACCAATAAAAATATGGGTCCTCTAAGACAGCAGTCACCAATTGGTGGTCCGTGAGAAAATTTTGGTGGTCCACAGAAAAATTATTTGCATTTTTCATATTGCACTAAATCGGGGTCCTCAAACTACGGTCTCTGGGCCGAATACGTGCAATGAACGTTTGTGTTGCTGCAGAGTCCCCCCCTTCGGGGTCCTTTTGTTCAGGGCAGAGGGGGGCAGAAATTCCGACTTGGGGTCTGCTTCAGCCTCCTGGTGCGGGGCTTTGGTGAAGGCTGGAGGGAAGCGCCACTGGTGGCAAAGAGAAGAGGGCCTTGTTCCGGTGGGACTGCATCATGGCCTGGAACTGGCTGACCATCTCCACCCGCTATGTCTCCAGGCGCCTGTACCTGGCCTTGCACTCCTGTAGGTCTTCCCTCTGTTTGGAAAGCCTATGCTCATAGTCCTCAGTGAGGTGCTTCAGCTGAGCCTCCTTCTCGGTCAGATCCAATTTGAACTGAGCCAGCTGTTTTGCCAACTCTTTCTCATGGTGACTGCTTAGCTCCAACAATTGCTTCCTGTTGGGGCCCTAAGGAGCCCGGGCGGGAAAGGGAGGGGTGGCTGAGAGGGGAGGGGCGAGTAGAGGCTGGCGAGGCGCCCCTTGATGTGAGTGACATCGAGTTGGCCATGCCCACCCAGTCATATGACCACCTAGCCACGCCAACTCAGCCGGTCATTACGCTGATCATATTAGTAGTCGGTGGGATTTAAAATTATGAATTTAGTGGTCCCTGAGGTCCAAAAGGTTGGTGACCCCTGATCTAAGAAGCACCACATCAACATCATGGAGATACTGAGCCATCAGTTCTCAGCAATCATGGTAAGACAGGGGTCTCTGTGAAAGAGGTCCTGGAATACCCCCCCCCCCCCCCCCCCCCCACAAAAATCAATGAGGAAGAGAAGCATTTTGCAGGCTGCTCAGCTTTGCAAGTATTAAAGGTTTTTCTTTGGTTCAACTTACAGCTTTGGCTTCACCGTTATTCCCTGGAAAAACATGTCCGTTTCTCTTCTACTATTCTGTGAATGACCAATTAGATGCCACAAGGAGGCAGTATGGACCAGCACTTGTATAGGCTGGAGGATAATTTTGGCTTCTGGGTGTCCAAACAGAGCCTACAGCAATAGAGAAAGCTGCCTAATACTAATCTAGACCATTTATCTTAGTTTAGCACTAGCTACACTGGCTGGCTGCTGCAATACAAGACTGCAAGATTTCCAAGCTCTATCTTGGACAGTGGGATTGAATTGAATTCATGTCAAGTATTAGTACCACTCTACAGAGCCTAGGGACATGGTGGCCCAGTGGCTAAGACGCTGAGTTTGTGGAGCAGAAAGGTCAGTGGTTCGAATCCCTAGTGCTGCATAATGGGGTGAGCTCCCGTTACTTGTCCCAGCTTCTGCCAACCTAGCAGTTCGAAAGCACATAAAAAATGCAAGTAGAAAAATAGGGACCATCTTTGGTGGGAAGGTAACAGCATTCTGTGCGCCTTTGGCGTTTAGTCATGCTGGCCACATGACCACGGAGATGTCTTTGGACTGCGCTGGTTCTTTGGCTTTGAAACGGAGATGAGCACCGCCTCCTAGAGTCAGGAATAACTAGCACATATGTGCAAGGGGAACCTTTACCTTTACCTTACAGAGCCATAGTGTAATACTGCATCTAGTTTTGGTTACTATAAAAAAGATGTTCAGATTCTGGAAAGAGTGAAGAGAAGAGCAACAAAGATGATTAGGGGGCTGGAGGCTAAAACATGAAGAAAGGTTGCAGGAATCGGGTATGTCTAGTCTAGTGAAAAGAAGGGTGAGGGAAGACATGATAGCAGTGTTCCAATATTTGAGGGGTTGCCACAAAATGAGGGGGTCAACCTATTTTCCAAAGCACAGAAGGCAAGACAAGAAACAATGGATGAAAACTGATCAAAGAGAGAAGCAGCCTAGAACTAAGGAGAAATTTCCTACTGGTGAGAACAATAAACCAGTGGAACAGCTTGCCTTCAAAAGTTGTAGATGCTCCATCACTGGAGGCTTTTAAGAAGAGACTGGACAGCCATCTGTCTGAAACTGTATAGGTTCTCCTGCCTGAACAGCGGGTTGGACTAGAACACTTCCAAGGTCCCTTCTGACTCTGTTATTCTATGTTCTATGTTTTAATTGGGAGCTGCTGAATACAACACAGATGCTGGATTCTGAGCTGCATCCCTTCCCATTCCAAATTGAGGCTCTGGAGAGTACACAATCATCTGCCTTCAGCTGGAAAGGATACCGAAGGTTCCAGAAAAATGCTCTTTTGAGCTCAGCCACTCAAATTACTCCTCTCCATCTAAAATAGCCAAACAGCTGCAGGGCTTGGAACTTGGGAAAAGTTTTACAGAGCCTGAAAGAAGAACTTTAAATTACGGTTCAAAGAAGGATGTAGATCAAGATAGGACAGCTCAGAAAAATAGCCATCAACTCCAGCTTTCAGATCAGGATCCTCTAAAGCAGCGGTGGCCCGCAGGGTGCTTAGATCTGGCCTGTGGGCCTGGCCTGGAAACAGCAAAGGATCGGCCCGCGGTGCCTCTGCTAGCAAAAACAGAGCTTGGGTGTGTGTGTGTGCGTGTGGCCTCCCCATACCCCATTTTTGGTTGCAAGAGCTTCCTGCAGCCCTCTGCCAGTGAAAATGGAGCTCAGGGGGCCATGTGCGGCCCCGGGGATCCATTTTCGCTGGCCGTGGGCTGCAGAAGGCCGTCGCTGCTGAAAATGGGTCATGAGGGCCCACGCGCTGGCTCCCTTGGGCTCTGTTTTCGCTGGCAGAGGGCTAGCAAAATGAACTAAAAACAAAACAAAAGGAGAAATGATTCCTCTTTTGCATTTGAGCATGCAAGAACGGACAGGAAATAGGAAAGGGAAAGAGGAAAGACAAAGAAAAAGAAGGGAAGATGGGAAGAGAGCAAGGAAGGAAAAATAAGGAAAGTGGGGAAGGAAGAAGAAAGGAGAATGAAGAGGGAAGGAAAAAGAAGAAAAGGGAGGGAGGGGATTATGAGAGTGAGGGAGGGTCTCAGGGAAGTCCTGCCTTAGCACTTGGCCACCACAGGTGCCCGCTGACACGAGTGATGTTGAGCCGACCACCCCCACCATGGCCATGCCTACCACCCCCCTCCCCCGGCCCTCTGAGGTCAAACACAATCCTGATGCGTCCCTCAATGAAATCAAGTTTGACACACCTGCTCTAAAGCAAAAATGTAGAGCAGCAAGATTGGGAAAAGTTGGTCAGGCACCTTGTCAGGAACTCTCTGCCTTCCATGCTGCTGCCACAGGTTCACAGAAACAGCTACAAATTGAGAAAATGAGCGCCAAGTGACTGAAGCAAGGAGACCTATAAAAAACTGTATCAAGCTTTTTTTTTTTTTTAATTTGATTTATATGCCGCCCTTCTCCGGAGACTCAGGGCGGCTTACAATGTGCTCAGCAATAGCCTTCATACTTTTGTATATTTTTATACAAAGTCAGCTTATTGCCCCCACAACTGGGTCCTCAATTTACCTACCTTAGAAAGGATGGAAGGCTGAGTCAACCTTGAGCCTTGGAGAGATTCGAACCTGCAGTAATTGCAGGCAGCTGGTCTTAATAACCAGCTTAATAACAGGGTGCCTTAGACCACTGTACTACCAAGGCTCTTCTTTTTATAGGGGAAATGAACCTCTGTCCAATGTAGACTGCAAGCAAACTCCATCCTGCTCATAAACACTGGGCACTGTTTCTTACAGCACTATTTTAAAGGTTAAACAAGAGCCATTATAATTGTAGTGTGCCAGATTGACTTGCTTATTTCAGGAAACAATGTGAATTTCAGCCTTCTTCAACTCTGCAGCTCTTAGTGCTTTCCCCTGTTTTGCTCCATTCCAACCCTTTCAAGCCTGCTGCTTTACTGTTCCTGTCTTCTCCATTTTATTTCCCTTCCCTCCCACTTCTTTTAGTCTTCTGTCCTTCCTGTCTTTGACTTTCCTCCGCCCTATAATCAAGGGGCTTAACAGATGTCAGCAGGACATTGTTCCATTAAAAGCTTAATTACTGCTACAACATCTCTTTGCTGCTTTCTATCAATAAATTGATAGTCTGTGTTGTAATTCTGATAATCTCTCAATGATTAGTGGACTGTGAGATATCATCTGTTGTTCAAGGCATGTACCAGCTGAAATCTAACTCACTGAGATCTTTTTCAAGAAGCAAAATATCCCTACAGTAACATTGACTAGGCAATAGCTCAAGACCCTGCAAAGATTTGATGGGATAACTGCATTATTTAAAACATATTTATTCTAGAAATGAGTCAGGTTAATAGTTAGCAATTAAACTTCCAGTTAGACATTGCGGGGTGGGAAAAATGCAGTCCTT